CAATTTTGACCAAACTTTTGTATTTTTTTGTGGGTTGTTCTGCTATAAATCTGACTTAACTATGATGTTAAGTACATAGCTAGTTATGTAAAGCCATAAAATCTGCCAGTATTAGGGCACGTTTGGTATGACTTACAAAATTTTGTACCTTTAAAAAGGTACAAACTTTCCGGCCCCAGAAAGTTGATTTTTGTTTCAAGTTGACTTTTATCAAAAAGTTGACTTAAAAGTACAAAAAAGCCATAATTTGTTTGGCAGCCAAAATCTTGTTGACTTTTTCAACTTTTCAAATTTCACCTTTGCTTCAACTTTCACATCTTTTGATTTGTTTTTAGTTCCGAACCAGCAATTCATTTACTTTTTTACTGATACTCTTCTTATCTGAAGATCTGATTAATTTCAAAAAAATGAAAAACTTTTTTGTATGTTTCAACTTTTGTTTTTCTTATTGGTCGGCGTGAATGATTTTCTATTGAACAACAGAGATAGGTAGATCTCTCATCATGTTAGATAGACGGCTCAGTTGAGTGATATGATTAGAGGTGATGTGGTGAATGGTGAATTGAGGTGAAGAATGGTGTTGATTTGAGCGTGGTGTTGAACCCATGTTGATGTGAGTTGAATTTAGGACAAGGGGGTACATACGGGAGATGGGACTTGTACGATTTGAAAAAAAGATATGATGAGATCGAGATTTTGGGGGTCAATAAGTAGCTTATTGGAAAATAATGAGCTCTTGAGCTCTTTATTATAAGTAGCAAAATAAGCTACTTATGGGTCCCATAAGTAGCTTTGAAAAGTTCTAAAAATCTTGTTCCAAACAGGCTTTTCGAAATTTGACTTATGAAAGTTGAATTTTGACATAAGTAGCTTAAATTAAGCTGTACCAAACAAGCCCTTAGGCTTGCATCAGGCTCAAATCAGCCCGCGGTCCAACTGGTCGGGGTCTTAGATCATTTTATTTTTGCAGAAGTGGCTGTACAGGTTCATGAGTACCATTTCTTGGTTCCTCTACACCTGAAAAGTCCAAAAATGGGCCTTTCAAGAAATATCATGGCATAAAAAATACCAAAGTACCGGGTCAACTGCCCTGATTCTTCTTGCAGGGAGCCAGTCAGAGGGCTTTGGTGATAACAACTGTACCCTATCTGGTGACTGAAAATCAACTATGCTATCGGTGGATAAGGATGTAACAAAAACTGGTCGTTGACAGGCTGATGGTTTAAGGACCACTTTCCTTAGATGTTGTCAATCGTAAAGTAAGTTTTTTCTCATTCTCAGTCTATCACAATGGTGCAATAACAGTTGTTCTTTCCAACACCTTGAATCCAAACTAAACAGTGTTTGTATCTGTCGGATCTTGTATCTTTTCCCTCCTCTCCGTGGCGTAGATAGTACTTATTTTTTTTCTTATTCAGTTTCATTATCAATTTTGTTAGTTAATTTATTAGGTTCATCGGTCATCTCGTCGCGGAGTTCCAAGAATAAAATTTAAGAATGTCATTTTATTCAACAATCTTTTGTTATGCAAGTGTCCAATCGTTCAGTCAGTCAGAAGGAAGGGAACAAATCCCCACAACTCATCATTTTTCTCAAAAAAAAGTGTTGTAGATGATAAAAAGAGTGTAAAAAAACTAGAAATTAACCTTATAGGGTGATATCAGCCTTAGCGCGTTGAAATTCCCCGTTCTATAGCTAGGGATAAGGTTTCTTGAGCAAAATAAAAGAGTGGCGCCTTCTAAGAATGAGTTTGATCAGGTGAGAGTGTTTGCGCACCACACCGTTGTTTCTCTTCTTGATTTTTTCTTATCTGTTTTGTCCATCATACTGTCTGATACTTTCTTTGACTTTACCTGTGTTCTCTGTCCTAATAACTGAGAACCCTTGTGTTTTACCAAGCTCCGTCATCATTTGGATAATACGGTTAATAGAGTTCATTTTTATCTGTTTTGTTCATTGTACCATCATATTACATCTTTGCCTTTACTCCTGTCTTCCTGTTCTCTGTTATACTCACTGAGATCTCTTGTGCTTTATAAAGCTGTACGTTCATACAGTACCTTTCCAAAGTGAGCTACAATTGTACAGAATATCTTGCGTCCACAAGATGAGTAGAAGGTGGTTAGTGATGATGTTCAATCAGTGACATCACTCCACAAATTTATTCACCAACCTTGATTTCTTCAGTACTTTGCACAGATGCAAGAGGCAATCTGCAAGGATTTTGAATGTGCCTTTGGTATTCTACAAGCTTGTTTTGCCAATTTTATTTTATACAGGATCACGGGCTGAAGCTAGATTCCTTCTTCAACACAAGCATCAATGGACTCATCCATAGACAATGATTTGAAAACGCTTCCCAACAGATACCCGTTCTTACTACATGGAGTTCCCACGAGTCTTGGACTGGACAATCAACCACATATTTTGGATTCTATGAACAAGAACATATGACCAATACTAAAATTGTGGGTGATGCACTGGTAAAGATTAACACACAAGACAGACACTACTAGTACAAAGAATATAATGTTTTCTGGGAAGAAAACACAAATATTGATATACAAAAATATTGGGCAGTCAGGAGGAGGGCAAAAAATACAAAAAAAGTGGCTATTGTTCCTGGTGTTGAGAGCTTCGATCAGACTATCTTTTTTGTATTTTTAGAGTGTATATTGTTGAACGTACTAACAAAAAAAAACATATTTATCAGACTCACACCTGTAACAGATGCTGAAATGTGGTTCCTTAGATTGGAGAGGACAATTTGGGTTCTACAAATGCTCATAAATTTTGCAATGCTTGGTCAAAAGGATTGCTTTTAGGCTCATTATAAGTCCAGAGTCTCTCTCTGAATGTCGTGATAATGAGTCAAGGCTTCATCTTCTCTCACAAAGCAGCTATAGTCACTTTGAATTATCTTCCACAAATCTACATAGATTCTTTACAGGTGTACACATCCCACACCTAGAAATTGTCATCATTGGGTTTGGGATAGGGCTATGCCCCGGCCATGGCGCAACATGGCCAGCCCTAGCGCACCAACCAGCCCTGGAAAGGCCTGGCTGCATCTTCAAGCACTAGACCAGGGCCTGTTTTGGGCCTGTATTGAAGGGATGGGACCAAAAACGTCAGGGCCGGCGCCCTGAGGGCACAGGCACATGGCAGGGCTCCTGGCACTCTGTAGGGCAAGATTAGCTGACCTGGGGTGTGTACTGCTTGCCTCCAAGAAGTCTTTGGGCAGGCATGCACAGTTGGGGCTAGGGCTGGGTCATAGCCCTAGTTCGGTACAAACTCTGGCCCTGAAAACTTGAATGATTACGTAAATCACTTGGAGGGGACTGTGCATCTGATGAATATGTTAGTATGTTCAACAATATACACTCTAAAGATGCAAAAAATTACTCAGATTGAAGCTCTCAACACCAGGAACAATATACATTTTTTTCTGTATTTTTTGCCCTCCTCCTGACCGCCCAATATTTTTGTATATCAATATTTGTGTTTGCTGCCCAGAAAACATTATATTTGTTGTAGTGAGATTAAGTGTCAGTGCTTTGGTCCACAATGGGGTATTAAAGAAAAGGACTGGGTGAGGAAAATCCAGATCTGGGTATTTGTTGCCATCTGAATGACATCAAAACATGTGAGTGTAGGTGTGGTTGATGTTTATTGTGATCATACATTGATCACAGGTAGCCATCTGTGATTGAGGATTTGCAAAAAGATATGTTTGAATATATCAATCTTTGTCTTCCTCAGCTCAAGTAGCTTTTGAAGCATTGAGCTGATTTTCATAATATTTGATAAATTCTTTACTGCTGAATGAATGTAGGAATTGGATATTTGTCATGTATGTGAAAGAAATCTGAGCCCTGAGATGCGGTAAATACAAATACTATGTGGGTAGATTAAATGTGAGAAAAGGTCCACTTGTCTGGAGCAAGCAGGCTGGCAGAGGGGGCTACAGGCCGCGCTGGGTTGAAATCAAGAATTTGAACCAATACATATGAGAGTCTGTCACAAGAAGTAGCTGTCCTGACCAAAGCATGTCTCTTGTTCTTGTAGATATACACACTTAGAGTCTTTCCAAAGTACATTTTCTGGAAAAAAAGATGGAGTGAACTCTCTGTTAGCATCTCAACTTGGATTTTTGACTACATAGACATCATCAAGTAATTACCCCATTTTTTATGATAACAACAAAATTTCCATACTGAATTAGTATTCTCTTGCTAACAACTCCCCCAGTGATGATGGCTTGAAATGGAAAGTGAAGAGTAACCAAAGGGTTGCACAACTTTGTAGCCGCTACGGCTATGCACTACAATTTGGCTACTCTCAACTCAAAAGGCCCACAGCTTTCAAATTTCAGAAACAGTCCACAGACTTCACACAATCCCATTCACAACAGATGTCTCTATCCATTTTGGTTCTTGAAAACACAGATCTGGAAACTCACATTCATTCTGAGTTAAATTTCCTCTTCAGTAGAGGAATGTTTACTAAACCCTCCCTCACCCATCACTACTAATAACAAAGTCACAAGTAATGATGATGCTCAAACATACACTGCAGTTGCCCAAGGGGGCAAACCACTGTTGATATAAATAGTATTTATCTGGCTTGTCACACAGTTATCAGGGTTTCAGACTCAGATTGGGTGCAATATACAAATTTTGATAAAAAGTATACTATCTTTTTTTGGCAGTACATTCAGAGCAGAGTAGAAACTCTGGGACAAGATACATATTTCAGTAGGCTAATTGCAAGTCCTAACACTGAGACCATATTGAAAGTGGCAAAGAAATACCTGCAGTTTTGGATTTGTCTACTTATCACTATTCAGAACTTGGGTGAATGATTGGGATTAGTTACTGAAATGAGATAAAGTGATCCAAATGAAAATGGATCTCACTTTTGTATCTTGAAAATGCATCCTGTATCAGCCTTTCACTTGGTCTGGGAAGCAGAAATTTGAGTGATTTAAACATGTTTCCCTATAACTCAACCACATCACTGTAAGATCTGTCAATCAAATAACTTAAAATCTGTGATGGTATGGTGTTCTGCTGGTTATGCATAGCCATGTATCTAACTGTTTCAGAGGCTTGGGACCAGTCAATTCTTTTGACAGAATTTTTGCTACCATAAAATTTAATTGGAGCTTTGTTGGATAAAATGTAATCTTTCCATCTCTCAAAGTAAGTTTCTAAGTGGGCCCATCCATTTTCCCAGATTCTTTCCAATGACTGATTTACTTTCTGACCAGTTTGAGCCAGCATTAAAATGAACATGAAGGATGTTGTGATTTGATTTTTGGCAACTGTGATTACATTTGAAACCTCTTGCTCCCCAAGGGCCAATTTATTCAAGCCTGTAGATAGAGTATCTGGGGGGTTTCTATGTATACCTTCATAGTGGTTTGAGACTCTTCTCTCAAAATCATCAAAAAATGAGCAATATTTTTCCCAAAGACCCTTTTGGGTTTTCATCTTGGCGATGATATCACTATTTGATACACTTTCATTTCCATCAATAGTCAACCCTGAATGAAAATGGGTTTCATCACCAGGGGGAATGTTTGACATTGATACAACATTTTCATGTCCTCTTAAAGATTCATCTTTTCTGATATTTTCATCTTCCCTTACATTTTGAGCTTCCATGATAGTGTCATTTTCCCTTATATTTTGACCTTCTCTGTTCACATCATCTTCCAAAATATCTCTGTCTGCATGATCTCCAGCTGTGAGGGTTTCTTCTTCTCTCAAAGGAGTACTTCTTTTATTTTTGTAGCTACTTCCCCTATCATTTTCAATATTCCAAAGATCAATGTACCCTCTTTTCATCTTTGATAGGTAAGTGATGTAAGCTTCTTCAACTAAACTCAAGTTTGGTGCTTGCAGCTTGAATCCCACAGAACTGATTCCTGCTTCTCCTGTGTTAGAATGGCTGTACCAAAGCTCAATAAGATACTTTAAGAGCTGTGTGGGCATGACATCTGTGGACTGCCGTCTCCCTATATAATATAGTGCATCTCCTATGTTGGACCAGTCAATTTGCAATATTGACTGTTCTTGTTTGGAAAACCACAAAGAAGACTTTTTGGTTTTCAAAAAGTCTCTCCATTGGTAGAGATAATTTTCTAGAAGTGCTAAACCACTTTGTAAGATAGGTGTACAATCATGTTGAGAGCAATGATCTTGATATGATAGTTTCAAAAATCCAACAAAAGCAGGTCCAAGCTGAAACTTTGCATTCTTGACTGCATTTGTGATAATTTTTGTGTTGTCTGAAGATTTTTTCCTATGATGATCTTCTGCAAAGATATTCAAGATTTTTTCATGAAGGTCCTTAAACATCCTGACATAGTTATGTGAAAGATGCCAGTGATTTTCGATTTTCCTTAGTTCCAATGGCTCTAACAAACACTACAAATTCTGGTGAGATTGATAATCTTGCAGAGTTGACCTTTGCTAAAAGGTTTTCTAAAGGTTTTGTGTTTTGTGAAAATTGGTGTGGATTTGTATCATCATCTATCACCACAATGGGAGATTGTGTGTTTCTTGATTTTCTGGCTTTTTTGTTACTCCTTTGACCCCATTCATCAACATCACCGTTCTCTGACACAGGAAAACCTTGATGATGATGTCTCTTGATATGCTCTATATCTGATTCTGTAATCCCAAATCTTGAGGATACCTCTTCAGTCCTGTGCCAGTCTTCCAACAAACTCCACACAAGTCTCATTGGACTATTGTTCCTCTGGTTATGAATTGCCAGGTATATCACTACTGACTCAGGGTCAGAACAATCAAATGATCCCCGTGATCTCTTATGAATTTCCTGGCCAAGTTTTGGTGAATATCTATTCAAAAAGGGTGCCCACTTTGAGCAATACCCCTTGATGATTCCCAACCGCTTCTCAAAATTGGATCCCATGCATGGTGAATTCCTTGTGTTTGATGTATGAGGAACAAAGCTGCCACAAATGATGTTGTGATTTGATTCTCTGCAGTTGCAATGACATTGAGAATCCTTTTTTCCCTGCGGTTTGCCCCCATATCAGGGAGAGATGTGGTTCCTTCAGGAATCACTTTTGGCCCATTGATCTTGTTTCTGAGACCATTGAAAAAAGTTTTGAATTCATTTTTAAGCTGACTGTGATGGTATAGATAATATTCACCAATCCTAGTCATAAAACGTCCAATCTTGACTTTGGAAATATCTTGATTGCCTTTTGCTATAAGTTGAGGGATTATCTGACCATTTTCCCAGTTCTTTGATGTCTCACAGTGGTTGAACACATCTTGATTGGGCCTAATGTAGTTTCCTGCCATCCTGTCCAGATGCATATATTTGTTTGCCGTGATATGTTGACCACTTTGTGTTGATGAAATATCACCAAGTTGAATGCCATCATGCAACCTCATATTGCTTTTAAGGATATCATTGTTGAATTCCAAATGATTTGGTGGAATCTGGATGAAGGGAAAGCTATTTTGTGGGGTGTTTGGAATTGACCTCCACTCATTATGCAAAGGATACAAATTTAATCCCACATGATTCTGTTGAGCATTGTGGTTTGATTGTGTTGGACTGTGTTGAATATGTGATGTTGATGACACATCATCTTGGAAGGTTTGAGGTGATCTTGCATTGCCCTGCAGAGCATTGTGGCTTGTTAATGGATTCCTTGGCAAAGAAACATGTGGCAATGTTTTATGGTTTGATGAAAAATGAGTAAATGGCCAATTTCCATTGAAAATATTTGGAGTTGATCTCATGTGATTCTGTAAATAACTCTGACTTGATGTCATATGATTCTGCAGAATTTGTTGGTTTATCATACCACTGTATTGAGGATTCTGAGTTGACGGAAAGTCTGTTTGCATATTGTGAGTTGATCTCATATCCTCCCCTGCTGAATTTTGTTTTGATGTCATTAGATTTGATGCCATCAGATCTTTTTGAATGTTTTGGTTTGATCCCGATTGATTTTGCTCTGAATTTTGCTTTGGTTTTGTAACATCTTTTTGAAGATTGGGGTTTGACTTCCAAATTGACTTCCCTCTTTGTTTCTCCAATGATTCACAAGCTTCAAGCAATGTATGATAATCTATAACAATGTCATATTTCCCTGGTTGGTAATCAGTAGTTTCTTTCTGCCACTTTTTTAACAGGTTCAAGATCAGATGAGGTGAGATATTTTCCTCTTTATTGAGGTCCAGTATATATCCAAATAGATGTGTTGGTTCAGACCATTGATCCTCCCATAGGATGGATCCCCTTGAGACGTTCTCATGATATAGATCAGGAACTAGAAAGAATGCCTGTGTTAGGTATGTTCCAAGGAAGTGCCACCCATCATGGACAATACCGCAATCGCTCCACACAAAAAATGGTGTGCGGAGCGTGTTTGGAGCGGTTTTTGAATGCACACAACGCTGCCCTATCCTGAGCGCAGCCTGCGCAGCGCCATCACGGGCCAAGATTTTGTGAGCGGAGCCAATCGCTCCGCAATGGCCCGGGCCCCGGGTTGCTCCGCTATATAGCGGAGCAATAGCCTGTATCCCAGGACCCAAACTGATCGCTGTAATACTACGCCACCATTACCCAAGCGAACCAATTCCACTACCACATCCCAGTATTGGACACATCTTCAAACGATGGAACCAGCATTGTTCCAATCCACCCCTTGGCGAACGAAAACACCCTGGCCAGAATGTGGTTGGTTGTATATGGGCTTTTTTTTAAATTGTTTCGTTCGGTAGGTACCTTTCTTTCATTGATAACCTTCTCATCTCATCAATTACCTCCAAATCAAGATTTATCATTCTGACACTAACAATCCATCATTTCCTTTTACATCTCATCCATTTTATCACGATGGCTCCCTCCCAAAGACTGTCTCAAAGCTCAACTTCAAGTACCCTTCAGGTACCAGGTCGGTCTTCGGGTAGGACTCTTCAACCACCAAGCCTGGCACGAAAGCAGCCAGGTTTCATTGTACCTCCAAACGACTCTCGTAGCTCTCTCTCTGTACCATCAGCTCCTGAGGATGGCTCGCCTGGTCCTCTTGCTCAACGATCTATGTCACCCCGACCACCAACTCCAAGTCCAACTGGCCAAAGAAAGAACGGGGGTCAAAAGGCTAAGCCAACTGCACAAGGAAAGGTGAGTCTCAATTTGATTCATTTGATCTATCATGAGATCACATACTGACACTCGAATTCATTTACCTTTCTAGAGTCGTTCATCTACAAGCAAACGTGCGAGATCAGCATCAGCCTGCTCATCAGGCTCATCCCAATCACCACCAGCCCAATCATCAAAGAGAGTAAAGAACGGGAAAGATGTAAGTTCCTATGTCATTTTCGTTTTTCTTTTTTAATCGGTCCAATACATTTCTTATGATTTGATCTCATGTGTTCACACCTTGTTTAGGTCTTTGAGATCCCAGAAGATGTGGATTTGTCTCAAGGCTCCGATGTTGAGATTGTCGAGTCCAATGTGCAAATTGGCTATAATAAGGCTCGTAGTCTTGCAGTGTTGGACCTTCTCAAATACTTCCATACTCCCAAGGTGATGTTTTTTCTCTTTTGTCTACTGTTTTCTGGTTTTGGACGCTGACATCATCTCGGCACTTGTATTTTAGGGACTCAAATACAAGTGCCGATGGTGCCACAAGACGTATGCAAGGACGAAGACATCTTATCACGGACTTTGGGGCCATCGCGATGGCAAAGAGGCTCGGCCGGTATGTACCATGCGACACAAAGCCATAGCCGCTGGTGTAGTCCTTCCCCCTTCTTACAATGATCAGCTCAAGGCTCAAAGCAAGAACAAGAATACAACCTTGAGCTCTTACTTCAACGGACCAAAATTCTCAGCCGACCTCTTGAACATGCTCTTGGTAATCTGGATTGTTCGACACGCTTTACCTTGGGCTCGATTTGAGGATCCAGCCCTTCGCGCTGCATTTTTCACTGTTAATCGAGGTGCCACAGTTCGATCAAGAACCTGGGCAGCACAGCAGTCGGTTATATTGTTCACTGGATTACACAACAAGGCAATCCAAACTGTCAAAGTATGTATGTTTCTTTACTATCTGTAATTCTTTCAATCTTTAATTAATATTACTTTTAACTGGTATATGCGAATAGGAAAATCAGGGCAAGTTCTGTTTAGTCCATGATGTTTGGACTACAAAAGGAAACCGGTACGCCTTTATTGGCGCGACTGCAAATTACATCGATAACAATTGGAATTACCAATCGACTCATCTCACGTTGAAGATGGTGGCCTGGCGGCATTTCGGGGCCCTTCTGGCTAGACCGGTTGGACGGTTTTTAACTTCTCACGGGCTTCATAAGAAGATATGTATCAATATCTTCTTATTTTCACATTTTTATTTACATCGAACTAATTTTTTGATATTATATGTTTTCTTACATGTTATGTCAGACAACCAACAGTGGAAGTAACAACAACTCAATGGCTGCTGAGTTGCAATCATTATTTGCTGCAGCTGAAGACCCGGTGTTCTGGCAAAGCTCTACGCACCACGTGTGGTGCTATGCGCATAAACTCAATCTGGTGGTTGGGCATGGGCTCAAAAAACTTGGTCAGAAGGTTAGTACAGCAAAACCAACTGTTCCTCAAGGCGTCGCTCTCCCTGTTCCCACTCTTGAGGTCAACGATGGCCACGATCAACTCGAAGTGGACGAGGTAGACTCAGACCAAGAGGACAATGACAATCTTCCTGAAAAACCTGACGGTGTCGACGACGAGGATACGAATCTGGAAGAGGAAGTAGCTGCAACACCACCGGCGCTCCGCTCGCCCTTACAAATGTGAGTTTCTACTTAATTACTCATTTAATTCCTTCCTCTCATATCTTCCTTTTGAGTAGATCGATACTGTCAGTGGCCAGATTGCCAGTAGTGCAGCAAGGCGCAGCGACTTCAAGGCACGTGCAACTCAGATGGGTTACAAAGGTCGCATGCTCATGCGACCGTGCAAGACACGCTGGAACAGTCACCACGCGAGCCGAAAGGTTGCTTGCGAGGCTCAGGAGGTAATTACTTACTCATCTACCATCACTCCTTATCATGCGGTGATACTGACACTTTTTTTTGCTCATCACAGGTCATAAATTCCATGCTTGCTGCAGATCGCAAAGCTTTGTTTTTTAAAGGCGTCACAATTTCACCTGCAGAATGGCATGCGGTGGAATTGACCAACAAGGTTTTGAAAGTGAGTACCTTTCTTCATTTGATTCTTCTTCAAGCTACTCACTGATGTATTACCATGTCTCCTGTAGACCTTTGTTGACGCGACTGCTCGAGTCGAAGGAAACGGACCAACTGGCTGTATCGTCCTGGCTGAATACAAACGGGTTATCAGTGAACTCAATTCACATAAATTGGAGGCTTCGGAATTTCCCAGCCTGGTGGCTGCAATCGACGAGATGGTTGTGTGGCTGGGCAAGTATCAGGAAGAGGCTCTGAACTGCGAATGCATTGTTCTCGCCACCATCCTGAACCCTCGATTTCGAGGCAAGTTTTTTGCCATCCATTACCCTGATCACGATATCTATGCCAATCTGGCTATTGAAACCGCTTTCGCCAATGCCTTGGAGGAGGACAAGGACGATGAACAACCAACCCCAGAACCTGATGAGACCAATCGATCTGCTGAGGTCGATGATGCTTTTGATATCTTCGGATCTTCCAATAACACACCCAACAAAGAAACAAATTCAGAACTCGAAGACTATTTACAAGGGAAATACCCAGCCAAGAAGGATCAAACCCCTCTTGGTTGGTGGGCGGTTAGTTTGATCCTTCTATATCGTTGAAGTGATTGGCACCTTGGCTAACTTTCTCTTTTCACGCACAGGAACATGAACATCGATTTCCAACACTGGCCAAACTGGCTCGCGATTACTTGTCGATCTCGGCCACATCCTGCGCATGTGAGTGCACCTTTTCTGCTGCAGCCGATATCTGTACTCCTACCCGTGGAAGTTTGCTCCCAAAGACGATGGAGCGTTTGGTTGGCTCTCAAGCGTGGCTGAAGGACGGGATAGTTCCTGATGGTGACTTTGAAGAAGCTGCAAACGCACTTCAAGCTTACATAGAGACCTTGGTAAAAAAAAGGCCTAGGTGGCTCTTTGTTATTTTCATTCCTGTTCTTTCTTCTATAATGTCTTTTTCCTTTTTTTATCTTTACCTTGATTCTTTCTCAAGAATCCACTCTACTACATGTCTAATACACAAGTTTTTATTATTGTTTCACCTTTTATTATATCAATGAGCGCCGCTTTTGAGCGGTTTTGAGCGATTTCGATAGTGCGGCGCTCGTTGTGCGTGTTCGTAGCGGTTGCACCACTACGAGCCTTCAAGTGAGAAAAAAAAACCAAATGTGCGATTAGGAATCGGAGCGACTTAGAGCGGAGCAATCGCTCCGTAACAAAAAAAGGTCTAAAACCTGTGCGTGTCGGAGCGATTGCGGTATTGTCATGGATCAAATCACTGTATTGAGATGTGTGTTGATGGCCTGCAAAGACAGCAAACAATCCTCCCAGAAACCCGTTCACAACGTCATGCTGCACTTTCTTCAATGCAGCTTCTTTTTCTTCTTGTGTGTATGAAGCAAGATTTTTGGTCAAATGTCTAGAGACAATATGGCTATCAATATTATCAAAAGTGTTTTTAATTCTTTGCAAGAGTCCCCCTGTGAGATGAATGGTAGTTAATCCAGTCTGTGTTAGTACACTGAGTACCTCTTTTTCATTCACTTCTCTTGCCACAGCACTATCTTCAGGTATATCCACAACACTTGATGTGATATCAGCCCTCTGTGCTAATACTTCAGGATCCGACCAGTATGAACCTATGGGGTGTGGAAGGACACTGGCTTTATCACCTTGGATTTGGTGATTTTGAGTTGACAAAGCAGGAAGGGATTCATCTACAGTGTTATGGGATCGCTGTTCGGTTCCAAGTCTGAATCCGATATCTCTGTTGTCATCAATTTGGGCTACTTGTTCATTTGTCAACCGCCTTAGATCTCTGGCCTGTGGTGGGCTGATCTCATTGTTGACTCCAACGTAAGGATGTGGTGTTGAAGATGAGGGACGGAATTGATCGTCAATCTCATGGGCTGGGCGTTTTATTCTGTTTCTGGACATGGAATCTCTGCTATGACTCTTTCGAAATAGCGGTCCAGTAATTGATTGCCTTGAACCTATGGAGTTTTGCGCTGTAATCATTGCACCAGATTCACTTTGATCCGTTTCAGGTGATGATGATGGTGGAAAGGATTCTTCTTGGGAGCTGTCGGAGCTTGATGCATGAATTCTCTGTTTGGACTCGAGATCTCTGTCTTTGTCAACGCGAACTACCGGTGTAGTGTGCAACCACGATGATTCCATGAGGTGCTCAGGACTGATCGTTTCGATAATCCTACTTGATGGTTGTCGAGTTGATGATGAGATGAAATTGTTATAATCCTCCCTCTGGAGATTTGAACGCCATGAATTCATGTAGTCATCATGACTGATATGTCTATCGATTCCGATTTGAGGTTGTTGGTTTGATGATGATGAATAGAACCCATGTGTGACGAAGTTTCCGTCATCGTCAACTGCTTGCTGCGGTGTTTCGGTTTGGACTATATTCTCGTTGAGGTCAAAAATATGTGGTCTTTGTGCTGTGGGTGTACACGTGGGCGAAATCGCTGAGGACGATGAAATTTGGATCAAAAACACGTAAAAATGGATGGAAAGCTGCATTTTGGGGTTTCAAGGCTGGTACATTCACATCAAGAGGAAGATCTCGTGAATCTCATTTTGAGAGTTTATATAAGACGGTTTCCTGCTTGTATAACGCGATATTACAAAAACATACCTGGTGATCAGTCACACAATCATCTGCGAGTCTTGATCATGAAGGTCTTCACATTCCGCTTCTCATACTTGACCTGCAATAAAGTTTACGTTATGTTTTGGCTGTGTATATCACGCCGAATGAATGTGACCAATAGGCATCAGCTTGATGACACACGGTTCCCGGAAAGGTCTCTAAATCAGATTTCAAGGGCTTTGTTTCCTGACACCTTCCACGCCGACCATCAAAACAACAGCAAAGCCTTTTGAGACTTACAGTGAGCAGCCGACTCTGCCCACACCCCAATGAGTAATCCAAATTAAGCTTAACTAAGCCGTTTTCCGACCACGTCCACTCTCAAAGAGGGTCCGCGTTGGAAGAGGGGCTTAGTTAAGCTTAAATCTACACGGGAGATGATGACCGTCAAAACATATCTTATGTTGACGTACACACTGCAGACAAAGACATAAGTTACAGAGCAATAACGAGGAGAGGAAAGATGAATATTGGGTTTAACAATTTCACGGCGTCCCTTGTTGACGGCAAACAAGAAAATTATCGATGTGGCCCTGACAAAGAAAGAGAAGAATTATGGCTTATCATCATCGTCATGCTGGTAATATGCGGCATCTTCTCTTCTTTCTGCTTTGTCTTGTCAAACATCAGATCTTCAAACTGCCAGCCAATATCAATGCTGAGCAGGATTTGGATGTCAAAGTTCGACAGGTCGTGAAAAAGAATTCTCTGCTGCCCATTCTGTTTATTCCTTTTCTTATCAATCCAACACGTTTTTCATTTTTCCACTTTTTCAGTATTATGCCGATGTCCATAAATGAGAACTGTACGGACACAAAACGAGAAGAACAAGATCCCATGGCCCACAACATCACCCATATGCTCTGGTGGCCCGTAGCAGTGCAAATCCCTTTATGCTCAGGTGCCTGTGCTTCACCTGATTTCACAATCAACAGCTGTGCACTTTTCAAACAAAGCGTCATAATTTCCCTACACTTAAGAAACACCGCTGAACAAAGCATTTGTTTGCCAAACCACTGAGTAAGTAGATCGAATTCAATTGAACCAACAAGTACTTGAATGTCAATAATCTCATAGTAGCATTAACCTACATCCAAAAAATACATTTGAGAACGTAAAGATGTATGTGATAATATTCATTTAACTCTGGTCTCTTTGAATTTTCTCCATGAAATTCTCATCATCATCCTATTTATTAAGTTGTCAATAACTTCCATGTATAATGCATTGGAAGGATGGTTGCAAGCTGTGAAGTTATGCGGTGCAGTGAATGTCTTGCAAAATAGTAACAGGTATGTACACAGTGGTGCCTGCTAAGCCCTAGCCCCTGGCCCTCGAATAGAGCAAAGGAAAGACTTGGAAATATCACCATGAACCTTGAAGATACATAGCGAGTTTAAGAAAGTTAATAATTAGGAATTGCTCATTGGGAATAAAGTCATGTTCCATGAAATTCTGAAGACTTGAATTCAGTCAGTCACATCAACTTATTGAATTTCTTAAATTTGTTGCTCAGCTTCACAATTAAAGTTTTTCCAAGTGTTCACGACAACGGTGTGTGAATGATTTGAAAAGTTATCGGAGAAGAAGTACAAGACAAGAAGCATTCTAGAACTAAATGATATGATCAAGTCAAACAAAATGAGTGAACTCAAACTTATCCCTACTAAAACTTCAATATCACCTACGACTTCAACTACTTCAACACCCACGACCTCCAACACGAGTCCTAACACCAATAACACATTCGATTCAAATTATCTATCAACTTCATCCTTACCATCGTCTCATCAATCCAGTTCAACATGTCAAACAAATTTAAATCAAGAAAACGTCATGTCAGTTTACTTAAGGGAAACACCTTCGAATGAAGCATTCAATTCGGATCCAGATCTGATTAGGATCTTGAATAAGAATCAAATCATCATTGAATGCAATCCACCATTATTTATCTTACATCCAACTCAAGCTGATGAAAATGGAACCAATTCACAATCTTCAAAATCGGTTTTACACATTATCACTTATACTCATCTTTATAAATTTCGTAGATTTCCTCAATCTGAATCACTTTATAGTTTAGAATTTAGTAAAACCGTCAAGGCTAAATATGGGTCATCTAGTCAATATCTTAAAGATCGATTAGGTTTCAATCGATGCTCCTCTGAATTAAGATTCGATAGAGATGGAAAACGGATTGATTACTTCAAAGCTGATCCTGCTTTGATCGATGGAATGGATTATAAAGTCATCAAGAACGAATGGCCTTATGCTATAGATCATGGTTATCAGTTCAGTATCTTTAAATCTTGTTCCATTTACTTTATTTTACCTTTGACTTGAGACTGACTTCTATTCTCTTTTTGCCAAAAATCACCTTATAAATTCAAGACATATGATCGTTTGGAGTAGATTGAAACTTTTGAATCCAGGATTATCTAAATCACCTACACAATGGCATCTTGCACTTGAACAAGGTTTATCAGGTTTTGTCAATCTATCTGAAGGAATGAAACGAAGACTTCATAGCTTTAATCTTTTAAACAAGTTAAAATCTTCGGATTCTGATGATAATCTTGATCATCATTCAAATCCATTGGCCATTGAAATGATCAAGTTTATTAAGAATCGTTGGTTTGGTTATGAAGATTTAATGTGGTTTTTAAATCCAGTTCAACTTCAATCTTGTCCTGATTTACCACATTTCCATGTCTTTGTTAAAACTCAAGGTTGGTCAGAATGGTAAATTGGATTACTTTAGAAAAACAACTCATTCAAATCTTTTGTTATTTATCCTTTCAAGGAGAGGAATGTTGAACCTTTTTTTTTACTAAGAACACGTCATGATTCTTGTATTTTATTTGTAAGACTATTTCATCTATTTGGTTCATGTATAATTATTTGTTCAGATAGATTATGACCCTTTCATAAACGATAAATAATCAAGAGATTAGCTTAGACAGTTAAACTTGGTACAGCTAATTATATCTCCTCGTGGTACTTCTCCCTTCTTCGACTTTCTCATATTCCAATTCATTGTATTTCTTTGGTTGTTAATATAATTACAAAATGATTTTGACAAATGAAATGTAACTTTTGACTTGCGAGTAAAGAACATCTTCATTAAACCAAAGATCACGAAACTACAAATGTCACACAATGGCACAGACACGTTCGGTTGTTTTACGTATCGTTCGTATAAAGCTCTATACAGTCAAACCTGTGCAATTGCATAATTTGGGTGGAAGACTTTTCCTATGCATTTTCACGGGTTATGCAATTCCATTGTCTAGTTTGGCGGTAAAAAGTATCAAGATCTAGGAATTTTTCTATGCATTGTCACAGGTTATGCATCTGCGCAGGTATGCATTTGCACAGGTTTGACTGTATCTGATTCGGTTAGGTAGGTTTATCTCATCCGATCACTAATAGAACAAAGAAAAATTTTGAATTATCACATCATTTGAAGAAAAACCAAAATAATAACTCACGAATCACACCAGCCATCGTGATACAAGCTAAAGCAACATAAGGAGATAAACGTTCACCGATTCTAGAAGATTTATAAAACAAACCTAAGAAACTAACGAAAATCAAAAGCCGAAAGGATCAAGTCAGTAATTTTGTTAAAAAGAAAGTTATTGACCCAAAAGAAAAGTACACAAAAGAAACTCACCCATGTTTGTTTCTATCAATCAAACTTGGAGCTGTTGATCTTAAATAAGTACATGTACAGATGATAAGTAAAATCACGAGTAATAAAGATTGAAAGTTGAATAATGCCGACTATGGTTTATTTCGTAGGAAGACGATGGGATTAGTTTGGTTTGGTTACTTTAGGGGTTTGGTGCTTGAAGTAATGGAGACGTTTACCATTTTTGACTTCGATTCTTGATGCTAATGTTGATGAATTGAGATGAGAAAGTGTCAAGTTGTGAGTTCAATGTTTGCTTGACTTTGAGTTTTCTTGCTTCTTTTAACGATTGGGGTTCGATCTGATGTTTGCCTTGCTTGCTCTTCACGAAACTTTGCGATGCGATATTGTGAAGGACTCAATAAATGCCGAATATCACATCGAGTTATTCTCTTCTGCATAGCCCGAGCTGTCTGTCGGGCTTCTGATCCTCGGGGCCGGATATCCCCAACCCATGGAACTTTACAGAAACTTGACAAAAACCGTTGTTCCTTCGGGTGTCTGCAGCATTCCATTTTAACTTTTCACAATTAACTTTTCATCATCACCATCATCACCATCATCAATCAATCTCATCAAGACTTCTAATAGAAAGATGCCACTTCTTCTACCTCAAACTTCTTCTTCTTTATACACTCCACCTGATAGTCGAATCAATAGTCGAATTAGTACACCATCATTACCTTCAGATCACAACTTGGCGACTCAAACTCAACTCAATCAACTCTTGAATCATATCTCTCTCAAATGGTCATCTCTTTTACGCTCCAACTTATCAATTCTTGATCTTCTCAACGATCCTAAGATCCCAAATCATCAGTTATTATACATCCATTCAAGTGAACCTTTGAATCAGATCAAATCATCACTTTTAAGTTCAAACCCACTTGGTGATCTTGATCAAGTTCATGTCTTAGAATTACCAGATACCATCCAGGAAGGTAAACACGGTGCTCTTTATTTACCTTACCCTTATGTCGTACCCGGTGGAGTGTTCCAGGAGATGTATGCGTAAGTGTGAATTTGGTTCAATCAAATTACTTCAACCCAAGCTAATCTCCCCTTATGTCTCCTACGCCTTGCTTTGTGTCGTCTATTCAGGTGGGATTCCTTCTTCATCGCTGTTGGATTGATTAGAGACAAACAATATCGATTGGCTCGTAACATTTTAGATAATTATATCTATCAAGTTAGTCAACCTGTGGCTTTCAGTGGATCTATACAACTATTTCTGATCCCCTTCGTATTTTCGCACTAACGGTTTTCATTGACCCAATCCTTTGAATCATGCACAGATCGAACAATATGGGAAGATTTTGAACGGAAATCGAACCTACTACCTAACACGATCTCAACTTCCATTATTGACACCCTTGATCAAGTTGATCTATTCAATCGTACCGTCTGCACATTCTCAACATTGGTTGAAGCGGGCGATCTTGGCCTCTGAAAAGTACTACCAATACTGGGTTACAGGTGATCATCTCATACCTGAAACAGGTCTTAGTCGATTCTTCGACTCCGGCCCGAGTGGTAGTATCCCACCTGAAATTGCTCATGAAGTCGATCCTAATGATGGAGCTTCTGCTTATGAGCGTGTCAGGAGGTTTTATAGAGAGAATCATCAAGATGGGATCGCTGACTATGGTAAGTTTTTCTCACTCAATGCCATTCAACTCGGAATTCCTCGACTGATTGAACACCCCGGTTCTTGCATTTATAGATATTACCGAGTATTACGATGTTCAGAATGACAAGCTAAAAGACAAGTACATGGATAGCGATCGAGCGATGCGAGAATCAGGATTCGATACATCCCACCGATTTGGTCCCTTCAACGCCAAGATCTTGGATTTCAACCCAGTCTGTCTTAACTCATTATTAGTCCAGATGGAAGAAGATCTCTCCGAATTATATACCATGATCAAATCGAATGAGCCAAGCGAATCCGAGAAGAACTCTCAAAAAAGTCAATATTGGACTCAAAAAGCTCAAGATCGTAAACAACTCATGCAAAAGTATAATTGGGACGAAGAGGATGGATTATTTTACGATTACGATTTTGTTAACAAAAGTCGAAGAAAGTATAAATTTGGTACCACCTTTTTACCTCTTTGGACAGGTCTCGCTACTCCGGCCCAAGCTGAAAAAGTAGTGAAGAATGGACTTCGAGCATTAGAGATCCAAGGCGGATTAGCTACATCCGATCAAAACTTGGGATCTCAATGGGATATGCCATATGCTTGGGCCCCTTTACAATTCTTTGCTGTTGATGGAATGCGTCGATATGGTTATTCAGAGGAGGCTGATCGTTTATCGATCAACTTTGGATCAATGGTGCTTAAGACTTTTCTCAATACTGGAGAAGTATGGGAGAAGTATGATGGAGTCCAAAGAGATGAAACTGTTAAGCTCAAGTATGGGTATCCTACCAATGAGATTGGATTTGGTTGGACAAATGGTCTGTCTTTTCTCATCTAATCATTTGATCTTGTTTTATTGATGACATCAGGACTGAGTCTGTTTTGGTATATTTTCTTTTTTGATATCTAGCTGTTTTTACGAGATTTTATGACCAACTATCTGATGTTGGAAAAGAACATTTGCTGAGACTCGATGGAATACCTATCCCATCTGATCTAGTATGATTTTCTCAACATGAATGGTTTTGGTTTTGCTACAAGATTTGAGCGTTCTGTCTTCTTAGATTTCGTCTCTATCATTCTTTATTTTTTTTTCTCATTATCTAGACTGTTGGATGATAGATGTTGTAAGTCATATCAAGAACAATACTCTCTTTATTGATCTGTCTTCTTTTTCTCAATAGAGCTCATAAGGATGTATTTTCAAGTTTTGCTTTTTGAAAGAACTTGATGGTTTCAATTACTCTTTTGTAAGGGTACTTTTTTATGATCTCTTTTCTTGTTTTATATTTTAAAGATCTTGTGTTTGTTTGTGTTATATTTTTTGAATTACATGATGGTTTATACACGAATCTTTGGTGATCTTGTTGTACATTGGTTTTGTTTGAAATTGAAGTTTTGTTTTTGAACTTTGTCTCCTTTTAGGGGTACGGTAAACTGTCAATCAGAACAGTAAACAAAATCTTTATGCTGGAGACGAATTAAGAACTATGAACAAAAGTATTTTGTGCAGTTTTAACTTTTCGAACCATCCTCCGGACGTTTTGAAACTCATGAAATATGGACAAATAATTGCATCAATATCTCGATCGTAAAAAAAACAAGGAAAACAGATGATCTCATATAGGAAATAACTATATACACAGTTCAAAATATGAAAGAAGAACGATTGATTCACTCATGATCTCTTATCCAAGTTGAAGATGTCCAATCTTCGAGTTCCTCCAATTCACTGCAATGTGAACCTGGCACTGAGAGCGCATCGTCATTATCTGCGTTTTCTTCAATAGGGTCTTGGCTGGAAACATTAGTACCAGTCTCATCGCTATCAGAGTCCGAGTTGAATTCTTCAGGTTCACCGGCGGGTTCTGCTTGAATTGCAGCAGCTTCTAATTGAGCTGCATCAGCTTCTGCGGCTTCAATTTGCGATAAGAATCCATGGTCTTCTGGAGATGGAAAGCCATCGTAAAGATCAGCATATTCATCAAATTCTTCTTCCACGAAATAATCACCCTCAGATGAGTGATCTTCTCCAAGATCTGATGAATTTACGTCAGCTACTGCACCTTCGATTTCAGATGGACCAATCTGCGCTTCAGTATTGCCATTGTTATCAGGATTTGACAATGATGTCTGCACGTCCAGTTGAGTATCCTCAGTTTCTACGTGGTTTTGATTCTGCGGGTCAGGTTCCATCTGGTTTTCGTCCTCATCTTCGCTTTCGTGATCTGCGATTCCTGGTAGGGGTGTTGGTTGAGTGCCATGAAACTTGATCCTCACCAGTCGTCCAAGAGCCCAATTCTCAAGCCACATTCTCGTTTCATTTCCGGGCGGAACTGATGAAAAAACAAGTGACTTCAAACCTGGCCAAGCTTCTTTGTTCTGTTCAATAGAATGTGTCATTTTATCAAGAAGGTCTTGACGATCAGCAGAATGTATGTGAAGTTTTTCAAGATGAGGAGCTTCTGATAAGATATTGAAGAGTTCGGTATTGAATCGGAATCCCAAAAAGGTGAAATTTTTCAATGATCTAAAACGAGTTTGGAATTGAGATCCGATTGAGTATGGGTCATCAGACTGTTCAAATTGACTTACAAGCCGAATGTCAGTTATGGTTGGAAATTTCAAGATGAATTCATACAATGCTTCACCCGTGAGGCCCAGGCATCGCTTTATTGACAAAACCTTTAGGGAACTATTCCATTCAAGATCACACCAGCTTTGGTCGGGAGTATCTAAATTTTGCAGTGATAGCTCTTCTAATGAGCGAAGCCGTGCTAAAGCCCTGCCGAGCATCAATCTTCGAGGTGAATTGAGGTGATAAGGAGCTACTGAATTATGGGCTCGGAATCGAACTAGATGAGGAAGTTGTCGAATACATTGAGCAATATCATCCTCAGGTACAAAAGCGTAACAAGCCCCACTAATGTCCAAAGAGGTGAGAAGAGGAAAGTTAAACACCGCATACGTGACTTCTCGGTGAGCGACCTTGAGTTGCTTGAAAAGTATATTGTTGGTGTGTTCTAACCACATGAGCCTGTTGATCTCGATATCGCACAGAGTTTGAAGACGTATATGCTTCAAACTGCATTGGGACTCGGAGAGATCTGTAAGGAAATCTCTGAGATCAGAGAAATAATCTAAGCACCTATGGTCAATGACACCATTGTGGGCGAGTGAACTGTTGGAAAGAGACACTCGAGCTTGTAACGAACGAATGTGACGGATTCGAGCAGCTATCTCCGAGATAGCCTCCAGCTCGTTAGGCCTTTGTGGTCGACTGAAAACTAGTGTCTTTTTTTACGAAAAATGTCAAAGTTCATGCAATTTATAAGTCATCACCTTTTCTTCGTGTCATGAATGAGTATCTGTTATCAAAATAGTGCTCACCTTCCAGAGAAAAGATTCGCAGACCGATCTTACATTCCAACTCACTTGAGATAGTGCGGCCAACGATTGAGCTGTAAGAAGACGCGAAGTGAATCAGTGAGGAATCAGCTTTGGGTAAACTTCATTGAGATCAAAAAAAAACGATCAATGATTTTGCACATACCTGATCTACTCTTTCCAGTATATGGAAAAATGAAGTTGTTGTGCCCTTCACGGTCCAATTCGATTAAATAATAAATTATTTCTTCTTGAATTTCTCTGGGTAATTTGTCAAGCATCTTGTCAGTAGTTAAGAAATAGATTATAGGGTTGATAGATATTGTGTTTGGTTGTAAAGTGTTCAGAATTGAATTGTTGGATGGTATTATCGATGATCAATGCTGAGGGATTCGATAGCTACGCTGGTAACTGATTGGTAGGGTGAATCTCTGCAATTTCTCCGACACGAGAACGATCTATATCGACAGCTGAGGAAGAAAGCAAAAGCTTCATCCCGTCTCTTGATTGCATTTCGTATCGCATTTCGAGCGAAATGTTGTTCTACCAAGTTCAAGCGTGGTGAGATTTGAAGGCAAATTCTTGAGAATTGAAAAGCACGGTCGATATTTCCGCGCCACAGCCCGAAAGTCATCATATTACAAATGTCCCAAAAAGATATCATAGACTAATAGTTAGAAAAGATGATTACTTTTTAAATTGAAAAGCTAACTATTTCGTTTGAAGGCCTGCTTTATTGTGTCAGATGTCGATGTGATTCGACTTGTCATTTTTCAAACTCAGGAAATTCTTGCCATTCGTTTTTGGACCTGAGGAGTGCTTGACGTCAGCGTATGTAGAGACCGCTGCATGGGACTGAAAGTGGCTGCCGATTTGAAAGCGCTTTCCACAAAAATGATGGATTATTCAGCTCTCAGCCGGTACCGCGAAAAGCTTCTATGAGTGCATCCCTCGGACATCCATATGGCATGTAGGTTCGATGAGACTCCGAGGAGCCTTCAACCTGCCTATACACCTTCCGATCGCACCTCCAGAGAGGGTGATGTTTTTCTGCTTAGCCTTTATCGATCGATCCCCAGTTTCGGGTCATAGAAATCTTGAATCAACCGAAGCTGCCTTGACTGATTTCCTCGATGCTCCTCGATGCTGACGGCGTCGGGGTCGGTATAAAAGGAGCAAAAAACGTAAATCAACCCATGGCGTCGAATTTCTTGACCCACCTGGCGCAAGGCCCGCAGGCGTGAAATAACGGCAAGCTGTAGCAATTGTAGAGCCTAAATTACAGCTTGTTTCTTTTCTTCTTTTCTCCGTTGGGTTCCTTCTTCCTTTCTCTTCTTTCTCTGCAGAATGTCCTCATTTTTCCCCGAGTCTCAGTACAAGAAGGATCAGGCCCTGTTGTTGCTCTTTCGTAGACGTGATTCATGCTGTAGAAACATTTGGCTTCACATCCCGGAGTCCTTCAAAACCAACGCCAGCTTTACGCTTTCTATGTCTGTGATTGTATGATGTGTACCAATGCTTTCAATTTTGGGGGAGTGATTAGCTTATCAAAGCCCTCTCTGCGCGGCCGGAGTGAGCTGGTTTGCGAGATCTCTTCCCTTCAATGACTGACTAAAAGCGGGCTGATTCCTCAAGAAATTGGGGGTTGATCTCGTCAAGCGGAGTAGCACGTCTCTTGGGAAATTAATCTATGGTCTCGTCGCTACAGGAGCTAAGACGAGAGACTCTGCCTCCAATGCCCAATTGGGGTGTTGATATAAAGTCTTATTGAGAATATGTCTGGACAAGTCTCTGTCAGACTCATACCCCCTTCATAGGACTGTATCGTTTACATTCATCCTAGCGGGTCTTCAGCGCAAAATTGTCCAAATCGTGAAATGCTTTACGTGTAGTCCGAAGAACCCAGAATGAAACATTTTTGCATTCAAAATTGGGATAGAATTCTCGTTCCATTGAAAGCGGCAAATGGCTCCTCAAGACCTTATTTAGTATCATTCGGGTTCCACTAAATCCAATCAACTTAGTTGCTGACTCATTCTGAGCGGGCAGGTAGAAATCCAATACACAGTTCAAAAGATGGTGTACTTGATTGACCACAATTAGATTAGTTCCCTCCACTCTTTGACGCTTGCAATCCTTTGGGAGAATTAGCTCTCTGGTTGGCGCATTACCTTTGGATCCAGCTCGCTCAACAGATCCAAACGATCCAAACCTGGGGTTTGTAATCATTTGTTCGGCTGAGCTTAAGGAGCCATAAGGCGACCTCCGCGACGTCAATATTTCTATTCGAGCATCTAACTCCCCGTCTTTTTACTTTCGAGTCTGTCGTTGCAATCGCACTGTATTTTTCTTTTCGTGAGTGATTGAAGGATACCTGTTTTGTCACATTTGCTTTCCGTGAATGGATTTTAAAACCTCACGTCTCTTTGATCTTCGCCAGTCAGAAAGTGAATCCTCAAAAGCTGGCTTCAAGACATGAATTCATCGCAATCGGATCCCTCCGTATCTGGGACAATCGCTTTGATTACGTTCATCAGTACTATTCCACCTAATGTCGATCCTTTCATGGCAACTTCTCAATGGCTGACCGAGACTCAGAGTGTAGCGGCAAGTATTTGGCCTTATATGATTGCATTGGAATTTGGTACTCGAGGTTTGCTCGTCCGCTGTAACTGACCTCGCCACCAATATCGCATGACCAGACTGCGAAAGACCCGCCGTGGGCGCAATTCGTTATGCACATCATCTTGGCGGCATATGTTTTGTGAGGACGTTTTCCATCCTTTGACTGAAATTCAAGTGACTAAAGCAATTTCTACTCCACCTTTTCTCGTGTTTCTACGGCTCGAACCAAACAAACACAAATGGAAATTTCAATCGACAAATAGATTATTATTACTTTCTTCAGTATTGATATATCTTCGAGTTTCAAATGGACGTTTTTCAATTGGAAGTGTGACTCGCTGTTAGTGTCTTTTCAGGAAAATGTTCTTACATCCATCAACCTTGAAAGATATATGCTCATTCGTGGTGATTCTTGATTTGATAAGATGGACTCTGGAGACCCAATGCTCCAAATTGCATGGCCATTCTTATGGGAATTTTTTCCAGCTGTATGTCATCCCTTTATCATCAGACCTCGAAACTTCAAAGTACACCTGATACCACAATTTTTTGACACTTTCTCTCCTTCATTTCATCTGCGGCGTCTAAGTGACCATTGCCTGCATGACTCTTCAATTGACGGTGCAAGACGGACATGATACGTATGCACAGATACTAGCACTATATGGAAGCAAATTCATCACCCTCTATCTATCCGCGTGGGTGTTTTGTTGGGCATGCGCTTGCCAGTGCGCATTAGCCAGTTTGGAGCGGCCTTGGTACGAGTCGCTTCACAAAGCTACTTCGTCTTCCAGGTCTCCGAAGAGACAAGACATAATCCGGTGGGTGATCAATGTGTTGGTACCGGGTGTGGCGGTCTCATCTACTGCAGGTAAATCTTCAGTCTACATATGCTGCGCTTGATGATGGACATCTAATTGTTTATGTTTTCACTCATTCAAAATCGAATTTGATCAAGTCATAATATGGTCCTTCGTGATGAGCCAGTTGACGTATCAGAGGCTGCAGAAAACTCTTCGGGCTGTACACGCCTCATTAGACGCCGCTTCTGAAAAGTTTGATCCAAAAACTTACAAGATTTCCGACTTGATAGAAGCTCTCACACCAGGCCAGAAGATAACAACGATCTTGGTGCGTCAAGTGTTGATTTGATTCCCCAGCAGGGAGCCGACGAGTTTCGTCAGTATTCACTTGATGCCCGGATCTAACGATTTTCGTCCTTGGGATACTCTATCGTCTATCCAGAAAAGTCTAAATCTTTGGTACCGCCTCAGTGGTCAAATCTGGTTGATTTTTTTACTCATATTTCTGGCAGTAAGTGATATATACGGGAAACCAGCATCTGTAAACACAGATCTACAATGTCACTCATGATTTTTATTTATCCTGGGGCGTTCCAGATCTACACTCCTTTACTTTTGGCCACACCTCGAGCCATGAGACAACAAGCAGCGGCAAATTTCAAACCAAACATGAACAATACTACTTCTATCATAGAAGGACGAGAGAAGAGACGTCCATTTTCTTGGCGAAGACCGATGGGTAACACGAATATTGAATACGCCATCTTGTTGGCAATGGGCTGGTTTGTCGAGTTGGCTGCTCTGAGTTATTTACCAATGATTATCTGGCAGGTCAGCTTGAACGACTTTTTATTCTCGCGTTGAGAAGTCATGGTCCCAACCACGCATGCCGACTGTGCCCGTGGAGAGCCCCCGACGTCTGGGCGGCCCGCACGGGCACTGTGCGTCTCTGAACTGGCGTGATAGCACATATGAAATATGGAGTTCTGATGTGATTGATGTCTCATTCGTCATTCTGTAGTTGCAATTCAAGTCCCTTGATTACCTCAAATCCGAAGCTTTCGTAATCGTAGCCAACATCGTAAGCCCTTGATTTTTGTCGAAAGTGTGCAACGGATCCTTGTCTAATCTTTGTATGATATTGAACGGATCAGGGAGCGCATGGATTTGTCTCCATAACAAGCAACATGTAAGCACTCCCTTCTCTTCATACAAGGTTCACTGGAAAGACTTGCTGAGCGAAATTTGACGGATAGTGTGATGATCATGGCAATTACTCAAACACGACGCCTACTGACGCGATCTAAAGGAGGATCGAGTTCTGAACTCAGTTCAGGGCTACGATCTCTGACATACTCCGCAAAAACGCTCCAGAAGCAATCCATTGCTACTTCAGGAAGTCCAGAGCCGAAGCAAGAATTTGATAAATCCGTTCAAATCACGATTCCTGAGGCGGCTGTCCACCCTCCTGACTCACCGGTCAGCCCGTTTGACTTTGGCCATACACCGGCTGTAGCCCCGCTTGAATAGACGAGTTTGGCTACGATTTTTTTAAGATTTCTACATATCATCATAAAGATACCATACGCATGCCATAAGCTTCAGTGTAAGATGTTTTTCAAAGGACAGGGGTCTGTCACCGATCATCAATGTATTCAGTTCGAAATATTTCATATACAATCTCTTTGACAATAAGTTCCTATCTGAAAGATTCGCGATCGTTGACTTGAAGTAAATGCGGAGAATGTTTTTCTAGTTATTTTATATGAGCGAATGGGAAAATTTGCTTTGAACCATCTGCTTATCACTGTCCAGAATGGAAATGAAATGTGACAATTGAGGAGTGAAAGTCTTCAGATAATCGAGACTCTAGGCAAATAGGTATCAACCCCAAGAAATTAAGATTTGAGTAGCCAATCCATCTTTCGGGTAACAGCGCTAGGTACAATTTCAAAGTTGCGTTTTTTTACTTTTCAGCACTCGATCTGACCTGGTGCTTGCTTGGATTTAAATATATTACATTTGGAAATCCTCATGTTCAGAGTCTACAACTCTCAGAGAATAGCTAGGCGCTTGGCCAGAATGAAGGTGAAACCCATGGGATTTATTCCACTAAATTAGTCAACTGAACCAGAGTCATATTCCATTATGTTCAAATTTAAGCTAAAAAGCGAGAAAAGATAAATTTCTGTGGTTGATCAATTAAAAATAAATTTCTTTGAGATACAATATGGATAGCAAGACATCTCAAGAATGACACTAAAAACCAAAGCTTTGAAATTCATGGCCGGTATCGTACTCGTGCCTGGCATCCGCATCTATGAGGACATGATATGCATTATTCAACTGAAGAAGGATAGTGAATCAGTGAACATTGATTAGGATGATAATAGAAATCTCAAGCATACGTGTTGGAACAGTGCCGTATCTCCTCCTTGTCTGTCTGGATGCATCCGACGACTCGATTTTAGGTATGCTCGCCGGATTTCGTCATTTGAAGCGGACTTGTCCACTCCGAGAATCTGGTGGAAGTAAGCAAAAGTCAATACCAAGTAATAATCAATCATATCAGTTATTTAGAAGATGACCTGACCTTGTAGTAACCGAGAGAGTCTACACTGTCTTCCAACTGTTCCGCAGAATCTTCTGGAGTATCGCTGCTCTGCCCCTCCCCTGGAGTATCGCTGCACTGCTCCTCCTCTAGAGGTGCACTGCAACTAGGGTTTGGATCCGGCTTTGAAAAGTGTTGATTCGCAAGACACAGTTGGAGATACTCGGCATAGACGCGCTCTGGGTGAATCGAGACCTCTCCATCTCCCCACCCTTCTTTCAATAAAACTAAAAGCTGCTGATAGTCTGAAAATGCCAACTCGAGGTAACGGTGCACGTTTGTATGAGACACGCATATCGTGATGCGAAGTGCGAGGGCGCGAATAAGATGGCGCCTGCGTTCATGATCGAACAAGTGTCGGTGCTCAAAGTCAAAATCTAGATCGATCGCAAGGATATGGTTGAGCGCTCCCATGGCCTTTAACCTATAGTACGCGGGCTCCCTGCTGGTGAGATGTTGCGCGGACTGATTGTCATTCTATAAAATGAAATGAATCAGCGTCCAAGGGATGAATACTAAGAGCGCAAAAGTTCTCACATAGATCTTTAATTTTGCCATAGCCCTCGTGTAAAAGTCAGCTAAGACCAGGCGGACATTCACGCGATATACTGTTTCGGCCTTCTCGCCTGATGTATACGTGAGAAAATTTTCGATTGCAAAAAGTATATCGTCGATTTTATGTGGGTCATCTACAGCCACCTGGCCGAAGATGAGTTCCAGTCGATTTTTGACGTTTTTTACACGTTCGTATGTGTGTCTGGAGCACGCAAAATGGATCAGCAGAGATCAAGTGATTATGACAAGGTCCAGGACTTACTTGACTGCGCCTGAGAGAGGTTGAGAATGTGTTATGTCTTCAAACTTTTCATAAGCTGCCTCAATATCCCCATTAGCATAGTCAATGAGGCCGCTGAGCCATACACATGCTTGGACGCTCCATACCGAGTCTGCTAGAGATCTCATACGTCTATGTAAAGGAGAAAAATGTTAGCGTGTCCAATTCATCCTATGAATATAAAGGATAGACTGATGCTTACTCCAGAGTAAGCCGAGCGGCACCCCTCCGGTTGCAAAGGACTTCAGCTTCACCTCGTTTGATGAGCCACTCGAAAGGTAGCTCAAAAGATTTATAATCCAATGGGTTAACCATAGTTGTGAGATAACAACATAGTCGATCAAGGATCAGGATTGCCTGCACCCAATGTCCTTGGTTATATGCAACTTCAAACTTGGTAACAGCTGTACGAATATTGGCGGCTACGTCTATCAGCTCCTGGTGATTTTTCGCTTCTTCACGCGAAGTTATACGAGCGCGGGCTGTATGTAAAAGGTTGATAGCCTGCTCGTAGTCCAGTGTTGATATTAGGATATCCCAAGTCATCTGGTGTACTTGTCCTATCCAGGCCGCGTCAGTGGTATCCGAAGACCGAGTCGAAGAGGACGACGTATCGGGATCCAAGCTTGTAGTGCATTCAATTTCTGGGGGATCCATGGGATATTGGCCAGGCAGGTGTGGAAAGTCCATGTTGACAATCACAGGGAAATCGGTATTCTTTTGTCGCAAGGGAAGTAGGATTTAAATGAGTATATGTATTGGGAGTCGGTTGTTTGGGCTGTCAAAGTTAAGAGACCTCAGGGATAAAATAGTCGCAGGGCTTGCTTATTACGGGGAATCACCCCTAAGAAACAAGAGAAGCTGAATATATTTGACTATCGTGATATGGAACTGGGCCTCAGCTGAAAGTTCCAAATGAGTGTGCGGCCCAAAAAGCAACGACTAAATGTTCAAGACATGAGTTGATATCAACGCTTTCATGGAATGAAAAGCAATAATATCCGAAAAGTCACTGTCGTTAGCTATCAAAGGATCTTCGAGGTACGACTGGCAAAGGGGGCCAGTGTGACTCAGACACCTGAAAGAATACTCAGCTGATAAAGCTTAGGAGCGTCACAATTCGTAGCGCGCGTATCGGATCAAACAAACCGCCAGTCGAAAACCCAATAGGGGTTGACATTCAACATCAGTTTTTGTCCGTTGACAACTGGGACTCAGAGTAAATCTTACAGCATCTTACCCAAAGATATATCGTCTCGATGATACTTTGGTTGGCATATGTATGCAAGATTGATACAGCGGGGATATGAGCGCTTCATCCAGTTCATCTGATGTAGAATCAATGTAGCCAGAAAAGGTACAGAAGGATTGGATCAAATTTATCAAAATGACATTGGAACCCTGAAGCCTCTACATACATCTTTATTCCTCATCACATACATAAGCCCGCTTCAATTGAGTACGACATCTACGGCCTTCACCCTTGCGGACAGTGTGCGCTGCAGTCTGGCCAACGTAACCTGTTGAGACTTGGGTTGATTGCACCGTCCATTCATCTCAATGCGCGTTGAGTGAAGATGTGTAGGCTGATACTCTATGTATTTTTGGCCAGAGCGTCTGGCCAAAACTTTCCTCGCTCTGACGAGCGATGTCTTTACACGTCGTACCCAATGTGCGAACTCTTTACTTCGTGAGTCAAGAGGACGCGGGTTGGGGTAGTGGAGGGCCCGGCCCGGGCCTGGATTGGTTTCCAAAAACCAACCCTGGTTCGTGTAAACCACGTGGCCCCGGCCTGAGATCTCCATCCTGGGCCCACCCTCCACCCTAGGGCTGCACGTGCGCCTGGTTCCTCGGGGGGGGTTTGTGTCTGATTCCCTCTCTCAGGTGCATGCTCGAGCGTCCTGAGCCTACCAGGCACACACCCCTCACGCACGTCAGGCGCCTGGTCCCTGGAATTTGGGCATCCTGGCCCCTTCCTCTATCTTTTTTTTTTTTTTTTTTTTAAGTTTTCGTCGATCTCGTCTGGGACGCCTCCCATTCAAAAGTTCTTCACCCAACTTCTGAACGCATTCAGTCGCATTACTGCTTACCATCTCTCAAAGGGCTCTTCCCTTTCTCGTCAGACTTCCTTCGCGGTTTTTGCAAAGTTGGGCTGACCCTAACTTGGGGTTCGCCTCTCCTTTGAAGTTCGAGGACACAATTCTCAAGGTCTTTCATTCTCTGATCAAATTCATTTTCCTGTTACACTCTTCGTCGTGGATAGCTAACAAAAACCTTTCCGTATCCTCCACATCCTCTTGGCTATACGCCTTCAAGTAACGTAAGTATGTCAGCGACGACCACCTTCCTTGCTTGGCGATTTTCTCCATCGGCGTCTTTAGATTGAATCTCAGGGAGGCTCCTCCAACTCGAAAAGAGTGCCCGCTCCATGTACCAACACTCGATTTGCCCCATATTTTCCCAGCTGAGTTGATGAATCGGGTTTTGGTGAGTGGGATGATGTCGCCCTTCGTTTGTGTTGCGAATAAGAAGCTGTCTGGGCTCTGATCTGGCTGTCGTTCCATCCAACCTTTCAGAGCGGCCACCGGGTCTAGGACGTTCAGCTGTTGCTGAAGGTGTATAATCTGTACCTCGCCTGGCCGAGCGGTTTTGGCCTTCCTCAGGTGTAGCCGCGCAAACAGCGTTCCTCTCTTTGAACCGAATTCCACGTGTCTCCGCAAGAGAGCTCCGTCTTCTACAGTTGTCCGTAGGAGTTCCCCAAGTCTTGCCATCCCCCAAAAGGCGACTAACCCGACCGTGCCTACCAGCAGCTCTGTCTCGGATCCGTTGTAAGTCGCTTCCCACAACCTAAATAACTGCCTTATCATAATTGGGTTTTTCACTGTCACTAATTCCTTCTCCTCTTCTCTACGTTTGCTTGCCGCCAGGAGGGTTTTGACAATGGCTGGGTGCGCGGTCGGAACCGTCGTGTGTCGGACAATGTTCCACGCGCGAATCCCGTCCAGATACTTCTTAATCGTCACGGATCCTACTGGTCTTGTTGGTTTGTCTAATACCCCTTCTCCTGTTTCTCCCGCCCAAGCAATAAAGTCGTGGATGTCGTTGTCTGAGATAGGGTTGTTTGCGTCAAAGCCACTCGAAGTCTTATTTTTGAACTCTATGAATTTTGACATCCCTGCGCTGTATCCTGCCAATGTCGTTTTTGCCCAACTGCCCGATGCAGCGTGTCTCCCCGCGCGTGATGCGCCCTGAGCGGCGTTTTGGAAATGTCCAGGTAGGTCGTTCATCGCGAGGGCTGGTGGGAGGTAGGACCTGACGTAGGTGTTTCTTGTTCGTCAGCGTTCCAGGACAATCAAATCGACCAGGTCGCTCGGGATCTTGATCTCTACCATGTCTGACGCGTGTTTCGACGAGTCGAAACCCCGCGACAGCCGGTCTGCGGCATTATCCTCCGACTTGACTTGTCGAACTTCAATACAAGATTGGTCTGCTAACAAGAGGTCCTGTATCTTTCTCCACTCTTGATTTACGTGGCGGTCTCTTGACTTCCCATTTCTGATCGCGTTTTCCGTCACCGTGTTGTCCGTTAGCATTAAAAATATCTCTCCGCGCACCAGGAGTAGCGTCCTCAGCATCAGGTATCCCAAACGAGCCGCGACCGTCTCTGCCCAGGCGATGCCTCGACTTTCTCCTCTCGCTGTCACCTCCCAGCCTCTCCTCAGGCGAAACTTAGACAACTTCTTCCCGATTATGACTCCAATCCCATATGATGTGGAGGCGTCGCCTACCCAGCCCACGTTCACTAAGCGCGGTTTTGGGATGAGTTGTTATGATATTGATATCATGGTTTGAGTCAAAGATCATTACCTTTCTAGGTAGATGCTTTAGATGTGAAGCGGTTGAGGGTGTAGTATTTTACTTTTCTTTGGTTGGTAGCAGTTGGAGTAGTAATGAGCTGGAAGCAAGGGATAAGCGAGTTGCATGATGTAGAAAGGGGTACTCAAAAGTTGTTTTTCGTTTCTTTCTGTTATAATGTGTTGCGTTCGTTTGTCCCCCCTCTTTCTGATTCTTTTCCTCGTCGAAAAGAATTAGTAAGTCCAATCCTCACAATTCTCAAGTTCTCAATTGTCCTCAACTAATTATTTTCTCTATTTTTCTTTTTCAATTCTCTTCTTACGGTTTTAAGATCTGTTTTAAAAATCTGTTCTTAAAACTAAAAATCTCACCGTGCTGCTTCGTTCTTTCTCTCGAGCTCGCAGGTATTTTTCTATTCTAATCTCTTTTTCTCTTTTAAGTAGTCTGTCTGATTGTTTTTCTATCTGCTGTTGCTTTGTCTCAGGTGTGTTTCTTGATCTCGTCGTAGACCAGCAGAGAGCTTGTGTCTAACACGAATCCTGTGCCTTCAGGTTTTCTTTCTTAATCCACAAGAGCTTCTCTCAACAGTCTTACGCCAGTTTTAGAACTGGATCCGAGATCAGTGAAACTTTATATGGTAGCGAGAGTAATTGCGATCTCTTCAACCAACTTACCGCTTGTATGAGTGCCATCGACGATCATTCTATTGACGACGAATCCTTGGATAACACTACTGTTACTGAAGGTTCAAGCACCTCAAGTACTACCGATTCTTTTGGAACGGTTCGCCAGGATCCTACTGATCCTCTGTCTTCTGACAATTCTAAAAATCAATCATCTTCAACTATGGCCGAAAATGCCGAATCCCGAGTCTTTGGTGATTCTATTCAAAAGTACTCACAAATCATGAACAACGCGCTAAGCAAATATAAAGTATCAGATGACTTAACTGATGAAAATTATATCGACTGGAGTCAGTCACTGATGGAAGTTTTCCAGTCTTTGGAACTTCATCACTACATCAAGATCAAAGATTATCAAAAACCTTCTCTGACAACTGAAGAACACGAGAAAACGCGGTTCAACCTTACCACGTTTATCCTACATAGATTGGATTCAGTAAACAAAGTTAGAACGCGCAACCATCTTACTGCTCCAACCGATGCTTGCGAAATTATCTATGACCCATTTAAATGTTGGAGTTTTCTTAAGTCGTATCATAATCGAATTTCAGAAGATAAATTAGAAGCCGTGACCAAGGCTCTTTACTCTTGTCAAATTTCCAAGTCCGATTCTCTCACTTCTTTCGTCGATAAATTCGAAAATCTTATTCGAGAGTTCTATCGCCTCAAGGGTGAACTATCTGACATTCAGTCCGCCCGAATGCTGCTTGGGGCAATTCCCTCTTTGTCAATCGAAACAAAGGAGTACATCCACAACACTGTGACTCCTCTGACTCGTGAAGGCGTTGGTTCGTATCTTTGGAAGTATGAAGAAAGACACGGCTGGACTTGCTCTGCTATTAAAGAAGTCAACTCGGTGTCAGTTCGTTCGACAAAGAAGACTTCAGGAGAGTGTGTCCAGAGGAATGCTTCGGACCTCATCTTGCTAAGAACTGTTGGTCCAAACCAGAAAATGCGGACAAACGACTGGCTTTCCTCTCCAAAATTAGAGGAAAATCTGGAAGTAGTACTGTCAACACTTCGGCACACAATTCTCAAACTGTCTCACCTTCAGTAAAAGGTGTTAAGAAAGTCTTCGATGCCAGTGTAAATAACGCGTCTGCGAGCATGGCTTTTCTCTCTCTCAATGTCGAGTACGTTGAAGAAATCGATCAAGAGGTTATTCAGTACTCGGCCTCACCTTCTGAATTCGATGAGGATCCAACCATCAGTGCTTCTGTCTCTGCCGCCCTCTCTTCATCTAAAGATTGGGCTCTTCACGACACCGGCGCGACTCATCACATGTTCAAGGATCTCAAAATTTTTGATCCAACTTCTCTTGTTAAAGTCAAAGACTCAAGTAAACGACTCAAGTTAGCAGGTGGAGATATCACGTTAGCTGTCCATAGTCGTGGTGCTGCTAAACTTCTAGCTGGTGACGAAACTATTTTTGAACTTAAAAATTGTTTATATGTTCCTGAACTCTCAAGAAATCTTGTTGCAGGAGCACTCCTGAAGAAACAAGGTGTTCGAGAATTATTTCACGACAGTATCAACTTCTCACTCGTCTTGAATGGTCTTGCGTTATTTAACGGTTTTATTTCCGACAATAATCTCATGTTCATTTTGCTTGAACCTGTGAGTCGATCAACTTCATCTTCAACTCCAGAGGTTTCAATCACTGAAGTAACTTCATCACTTCAACATCGACGTTTAGGGCATGTGAGCAATAAATATCTCAAATTGATGGCAAGACTTGATAGTGTGGAAGAGTTTGAGTATCTGGATGAGAATCTTCACTGTGATATCTGTGCTTTGTCCAAGAATACGAAATTACCTCACAATAAAACTAGACCAAGAGCTCGTAAATTCCTAGAAAACGTTCATGTAGATTTAAGTGGGATTATTAGAACCACCGGACTGAAAAATGAAAATTATTTTGTTCTGTTTTGTGACAATTTCTCTGCGTTCCGGCACATCTACCCATTGAGTGATAAATCGAAAGAAGAAGTTTACGAGGTTTTTATGGCTTACATTGCTGTTGCCGAAAGACAAACGGGATGCTCGTTGAAACAATTCACTCTTGATCGAGGAAGTGAATTCCTGAACAACTTACTTGGTCAAAAGCTGAGAGAGCTTGGAATTGTACTTCATCTGACGTCTGGCCATGCTCCTGAACAAAACGGGGTCTCCGAACGTGGTATGCGCATTGTCGCTACCAGGGCACGTTCGATGATGCTTGAATCAGGCTTACCAACTCGTTTTTGGTATTTGGCTTGTAGTGCTGCTGTCTTTCTTACTAATTGTTGTGTAACTGCAGCACTCGATGGTGGGAAAACTCCCTTTGAGGTCTGGTATTTCCGCAAACCTTCTGTGGCCCATCTTAGAGTCTTTGGTTGTCAAGCTTTTGGCCTGATTCGAAAAGAATTGCGGGAATCAAAATTTTCTCCCGTTAGTTCTGAGGGGGTACTCGTTGGATTTGAAAATGATAACTTCAACTATCAAATTTACGACTTAACTTCAAGAAAAATTTATATTACTCATCATTCTACTTTCAACGAAGATATTTTTCCTTTTAAATCAATTTCATCTACCGTTTCCAATGTACCTGTTGAACCTAACAGACGTTCGGTCAAAATTCAATTCTTCGACGATGAAGACGATCATCTTGATGAAGATCTTACTTCTGTGGACCAAGTATCACCTGAAAAACCTGTATCTCAAACCAATCCTGAACCTCCCTCTGAACAAGTTGAATCGGTCAAATCAAATCAAGATCCACCTCGTCGTTCCACCCGGTCATCAAAGAAAGTTCATGACACTCTTCGTGGCATGTGTTCATCCGGTGCGGAGTTTGACGATGACTTTATCACACAATCATTATTTGCTTGCTTAGCTGTTGAATGCAAACCGAATGAGGTACACTCGTCTCCTGATCCCAAATCCTATAAAAGGGCTATGGCGTCCTCAGACGCAGATCGGTGGAAATCAGCATGTGATAAAGAATTCAAGTCCCTCAAAGACAAAGGAGTGTGGGTTTTAGTTGACCAACCGCCAGATCGAAATGTAATCAGGGGTCTGTGGGTTTTCAGAAAGAAGAACTTGTTTGATGGAAGCATTAAGTACAAAGCTCGTTATGTTGCTATGGGTAATACACAGATCCCTGGACAAGATTACGGTGAAACTTTCGCACCTACCGGTAAACCTGGATCATTACGTTTACTCGTTGCTATTGCTTCAATCAACGGTTGGGAGATCCATCAGATGGATGCAGTTACAGCATTTCTGAATGGAAATCTTGATGAAGAGCTGTATGTCTAAGTTCCAGAAGGTTATCGTGCCTCATCCACTGTGGGGAAAGTGTGGCGAATGTTGAAGTCTCTGTATGGATTCAAGCAGTCTCCGAAGATTTGGCAGGATGATGTGGAAGGTTTTCTGATTGAGATTGGTTTCTATCAATGTGAAATAGACCATTGCATTTATATTCGTTCAGAAGGAAGTCTCTTTACTGCGGTGTATGTTCATGTAGATGATTTAGCAATCACTGGAAATGATATCGTGCGTTTCAAGAATGAAATCTTTGCTAAGTGGGAGATGGAGGATCTGGGGGTGGCTCATACGGTTGTCGGCATTCAAATTCAACGACTGAACGATGTCACTTATTCAATGTCTCAACAGCAATATGCTGTAGCAGTTCTCAAACGATTTGATATGCTTAATTCTAAACCTGCTATCACTCCTCTGTCACCTAATGTGAAGCTTGTGAAATCAACTGAAGACGAAGCTGAGGAATTTGCTAAGACTAAATTACCTTACCGAAGTGTAGTTGGATCCTTGATGTACCTGGCCCAGTGTACCCGACCTGACATGGCTCACGCTGTAGGCGTTCTCTCCCAACACCTGGAGAGTCCTGGAAAATCTCACTGGGACGCCGCAATGCATGTTCTTCGATACTTAGGTCACACTGTGAACATGGGCATTGTGTATTCAGCTAATTCGAGTGATGTCATGTCTGGTCAACGAAGTTTTGAGTGTCCGGTCTCTCATTGTGATTCGGATTGGGCAGGTGATGTGAATACCCGTCGTTCTACCACAGGTTATGTATTTGTTTTAGCTGGTGGGCCTATTTCGTGGAGGAGTAGACTTCAGCCTACTGTGGCTTTGTCATCGACTGAAGCTGAATATAGAGCTATAACGGAAGCTGGTCAAGAATTGCTGTGGCTGAGGAACATGATGGCTAGATTCGGATTCACTGATCCTAATCCAACGGTGTTACATAGTGATAATATGGGTGCAATTCATTTAACTTCAAAATCAATCTTTCACGCAAGAACAAAGCACATAGAGATACATTATCATTGGATTAGAGAAGTGGTGAAGAAGGGTGATTTAGTTATTAAGCATTGTCCAACTCATCTCATGGTAGCTGATCTACTGACAAAACAATTGCCTAAAGAACAATTTTCAACTCTTAGGAAAAGTCTGGGTTTGAGATTCTTAGGGTAATGCTCTTTGAGGGGGTGTGTTATGATATTGATATCATGGTTTGAGTCAAAGATCATTACCTTTCTAGGTAGATGCTTTAGATGTGAAGCGGTTGAGGGTGTAGTAGTTTTCTTTTCTTTGGTTGGTAGCAGTTGGAGTAGTAATGAGCTGGAAGCAAGGGATAAGCGAGTTGCATGATGTAGAAAGGGGTACTCAAAAGTTGTTTTTCGTTTCTTTCTGTTATAATGTGTTGCGTTCGTTTGTCCCCCCTCTTTCTGATTCTTTTCCTCGTCGAAAAGAATTAGTAAGTCCAATCCTCACAATTCTCAAGTTCTCAATTGTCCTCAACTAATTATTTTCTCTATTTTTCTTTTTCAATTCTCTTCTTACGGTTTTAAGATCTGTTTTAAAAATCTGTTCTTAAAACTAAAAATCTCACCGCGCTGCTTCGTTCTTTCTCTCGAGCTCGCAGGTATTTTTCTATTCTAATCTCTTTTTCTCTTTTAAGTAGTCTGTCTGATTGTTTTTCTATCTGCTGTTGCTTTGTCTCAGGTGTGTTTCTTGATCTCGTTGTAGACCAGCAGAGAGCTTGTGTCTAACGCGAATCCTGTGCCTTCAGGTGGGTAGTCGAAAAGAATTAATCTGTTTTAAAAATCTGTTCTTAAAACTAAAAATCTCACCGCGCTGCTTCGTTCTTTCTCTCGAGCTCGCAGGTGTGTTTCTTGATCTCGTCGTAGACCAGCAGAGAGCTTGTGTCTAACGCGAATCCTGTGCCTTCAGGTTTTCTTTCTTAATCCACAAGAGCTTCTCTCAACAGTCTTACGCCAGTTTTAGAACTGGATCCGAGATCAGTGAAACTTTATATGAGTCTTTGAGGTGCCGCTGATCTTAGTACTTCCAGCCAGTATCGTAAGTCTTCCCTCACCGTTTCTGGTATGTCGCGTCTCGCTGATTTATGTACTCATTCTGCTGTGAAGCGGTAGATATCTACACAGTAACAGCTCATCTGCGGGAAAACCATCAAAGTGTGGTTCAGCCGTCCCGCCAGGCTTTGCACCTCCTTAAAGCGGTGGGACCTCAACTCCAGGAATGACTCAATCTCCTCTATCCTGGCGTCGACTTTTTCTTGAGGTAAGCGGACCGTTTTCTTGTCCCCGTTCCAAATAAAGCCGAGGTAACGTTGCTCGACACTGAAGTCACTTCTCTTGTCTACGTTTTCTGTTACACCCATCTCCGCGCTCAGCCTCGATATATCATCCAAATTGAATTCCCCCGGCTCCTCCCTTGCCTTCACGAACATGGTGTTGTCTACCCAGCGGAAAGCTGCTAGTAAAGGAAAACTCTCCAGCATGATCTCCTTCCAAACGTCGGCCACCTGTCCAAAGACGCTGCATCCCGCCACACCGCCAAAGGTGATGCGAGTATCCAGAAGGACCATGTCGTCGAAGGTCAAGATCATCAAGAACCGCCACTGTCCGGGGGCGGTTGGCACCTGCCTGTACGCTTTCGCCCAGTCGAAGATCGCCAACACGACTCTGCCTTGGTAAGTGGTTAGAAACTCTGCAACCTTCTTGAAGTTGTCCCACGTGGTACTAAAATCGTCCTTGTCCACTTCTGCATTCACGGAACGTATCCCTGGCTTATTTCGCGGGAACAATAAGTTGTTGATGGGGCGTGTCGAGCCGTTCCCATTCACTACCGCCCCTATTGGACTTGTCCGGAAAAAGCCCAGCCTTTGGAACACCTCCTCCTTCGTGTAGGGGCCTGCCATGCGGCCTGCTTTGAGTTCTGCCGCGAAGTTTTCAAGGATCTTATCTTTTGCCGCCAGTGCGGAGGAATGGTTTGGCGGGCAAAAGAAGCAAACACCTGGAACAAAGGCCTTTCTCACTCCCTGGTCGAAACCCTCACGTAAGCCTTTCAATATCCTGCTGTGCTTTGATAATAAGCCAACCCTCAGGAGTTCTCTTTCCCACACCTGCAGGTTCATTTCACATTTCGCCTGTGATGGCCATGCGGGTGACACACTCAGCGGTTTGCTTTGGCCTGTGGGTTGTTCACCGGGGTATCTGTGGGTGGTCACGTAAGTGGGCATCATTTGGTAAGTGGGCGCTCTCAACTTTCTTAAGAAATGTACGCATTGAGTTCTGGTACTGCTCCTCAGCGGTAACCAGGACGTTCTGGCTCCTTTCTCCCACTCAGTAAGGGGGGGGGGAGGAAGGGCAAGAGAATTCATCTTTTTATTTCAAATTCATTCTATTGGCTTACTGTCTATGGTTACGACCTTTCCCTCTCGTCCCTTTAGGGCTACGACTACGCGAAGGGCTCCGTCTACGGTACTTCGTACGCTCATCCCTTGTGTTCTTCTCTCTCCCACTGAACCTGTCGCGATCTCTGAAGGTCTCTCTTTCTCTCCCGCGGTCGTCTTCTTTCCGACGGTAAGTCGCGGTCCCGTCTCTCTCCATCATCGCTACTCTTCTCTCCTCTGGTGTCATGGTTCTCCATCTCGACGATGGGATCCAACTTGCGTTTGATGACGGCTAACCGATGACTTGCGGTGCTGCGGGTGGTTTCTGGTAAGCTGCGTCGTACGCGGACCTCTTAGTTGCTGTCGAGGTCGTTATACGCGGTAGCCCGGTTTGTGGGTTCAGATGTGCCAGGGGGCCGCCTGTCGCGTATGGGTTCGTCCGGTACGCTTGTTCCTGTTGAGTGTCTGCCTGCAGTCTTGCCGCTTCGAAGATGGCCGATTGCAGTTTGCTAAAGTTTCGGATTCTATTATCCACGGACTCTCTCATCACTCCTTGGCGGATCCGAATACAGTAACGGAGTGCTACCATCCACCCGTAACTTTCACGTAGGTCCATCACCACTAACCGATGGCCGTCAAAACGTTCAGCTAACGTCTGCCATCCCACATCTGCAACGTATTTGATGAATAGGCCCATGCAGTCGATCCACTCCTCGAACTGCATCGCCAGTTCGTCGGGTGGAGGCTGTCTGCCATACACCCTGAGGGAGGCGTTGCCGTCTTCGATCTTCGACTCAGATGGGGCCTTCCTTCTGCTCCATTCCGTTTGGTCGTCAATCAGGAAGTATTTGTTGAACGCAGTCAGGGGAATATAGGATCGGAAGGTTTTGAGCCAATGTCTCAAGACCGGGGATAGTTGAGGTAGGCCCTTTTCCATCTCTTCTGACGTGTCTGCTACCAATAACCGACCATTTTCCACCACGTCGCCGTTCCGAAGTACCATCCGCCCCCTTTTTGAGGCCATCAAAACTTTTACTTGCTCCATTTCCTCAATGTCTTCCCGGGTTTGTTGTCCTGTCACCGTTGTGGTTACAAGACCGGGATTATCGAATCGTACGATGGGTGGTGCGTTGTGTGGAGCAAGTTGGGTGGAGGGCTGTAACGTCATGTATGGACACACCTCCGACGGAGCTGTTGGTCCTCTGGGTCCGGGAGTTGTAGTGGTTGCTCCCATTCGTGTCGGCATCCTAACCGCGGTGAACGTCTGAGCTTGGGCGGTGTGGACTGTGTTGGGGATTTCTGGGTCGGTTAAGAAGGGGCTAGGTCGATATGTTGGCGGCCTGAACTGGTCTGCCAATGGGACGGTCTCGCTACTCTCCGTGTGAGATGAGAGGTCCTCTGCTACCAGGTTATACGGACGTGCGTTTGGTAAGCCACTCCCACCTGCTGCCGGTACTCTTTCACCGTTCTCGCCGACTGTGCTGCCCGTTTGTTGACTCGCGATGTACGTTTGTAGGGCTTTGGCTTCTGAGAAACGGCCGTCTGCGAATAGTTGCTCTACGCGATCATTCAAGCTCGTGTTTGCCGCCGGAAAAATGGACCTCGGGGCTGATTGCGAACGTATTCATGTAGGTCTTTGTCAGAAATCTTTCTTTCTTCATAGTCTCGGGTCGCTCATCTCGACTCTTCCACCCCCCCTCCCGTAGGGATCATGGGGTGCCTCCACCCCCTTGGGTATCTTGGAGGCTTCGGTATCTACCCCCCGCACTGGGATCTTGGGTTTCACGCGCAGGTTCTTGGGTCTTTGGCCCCCTGGTCTCTCGCAATTTCGTCCGCGATGGAAAGTATGGGGGGGGGGGAATCTAGAAGAGTTGAAGACGAAAAGAGTGGAATGGGAGGGTAGAAGTATGAAGTGTTAAGCTCACCTATATCTGACCGTCGTTCTGATGTTTGGTACCCATCGACTGATGGTGTCGGGCTCGTCTGGCTGACGTCTCGACCTTTCCCCTTCGTTGGAGGATGCCAAGAAATCTCGTCGTCCGCATCTGATTCGATGATTTCGCCTTGTAACACTAACGCGGCGTCGTCTAGCAGACCTTCCAGCTCGTCTTCCTCCAGTGGTATACCGTCAAATTCTTCTCCCTCCTCTTGTCATAGATCGTCACCTGGTACCGGCTGGCGCCCGCTCGTTGTCGAGGTGTTGATGGTTCTCTTTGTCGAGCCTAGTGGGGGGCCTGGTGGTTGTCCTAGGGCGACTGATCTTGATCTTGTTACCGTCAACGCATCCGCCTTAGCCGCAGCCTCACGCATCGCTTGTTCTAGATTTGCTCCTGTTGACATGCTGTTTGACTTGAAATTTCGTAAATGATATCTAAGTTAGCGTTGGCTTTTAGCGCGAAAAGGCTACCCAGTTGGTAGCGTGCGAGAGATTATGTGATGTGATCTCTCGTGGAGGCTTGCTGAGGGCTTTCCTATCCGTCTGATAGGGTGAAGGATCTGGGTGTGGAAATTATTCCGCACTGTATCGTGCCATAGTTTTGCAAACTCTGCTCGAGTGTCATTTCACAGCCAGACCTTTCACAGCTCGCGCAAGCCCCTCATGGACATGTGAACCACCTGTGTTATGGTGGTTCTGTCTAAGAAATTGCTACACTGGAAAACCCATGCATACGGAAATCCACCTCGCAATCGTTCTAATGATATGGGAAAAATGTTATAGGAACGGTAGGATACAGATGGTTCATGATTGCAAAGAACAAGGTCACAACGAGTGCTCGATTACGGACGAGCTTTATCGCTAAATAAAAGATGTCAAGGCTCAGAAGCGCCCGCTGATCCGCGTAGATGCCAGTGTAGACTTGCTATACCTTGAGAGAATTAGTCTCCACCACTTTACTCCAAGCCTACCTCGAGATGGAATTGGGGTCAGCTCGTACCTCTCATCGGTATATCCTAGCTTTGATAGGATAAAGCAATTCCTGGGAGTTTCTCTTTCGAAACCTTGGCCAAGCAAACTCATAGGGTTTCCGACTTGAACTTGGTTAACCTTTGATCTTTCCAAATCTACTTAAAGCCTCTAGTAATAGCATCTGTAGGGTTTTCTCCTCATCCTCTAAAGTATTTTTTTTGCCTCTCTTTAGCTACCCACCTCAAGTCATTCATTCTCTACGCATCTCACTGCAAGTCTCTCAAGTGTTTCACTTTTCTTGAAATCCTTAGAAATATGTTTTGGTTTTCATACCCCCTATGTATCGCCACCCTCTTCACTCTTGCTGTTAGCTCTAAAGGCAGACTAGACAAACGTGCCGATATTGGTAATCTACCACCTTGTTCTTCTGTCTGCTACTTTGATGCTCTTTTCAATAATAACGGGGGATGTCCAATGGTAAGAGCTTCGTTTTCAATTGGAAGACTTTGATAAACAGGTTGCATAACTAACTTTCGGTATATCGGCTCGTGTCTTTTGCTCTAGTCTGATCCCGGTTGTCTTTGCGGTCAACAAGAATTCCGGGACTCACTGAATAATTGCTTTTATTCATCTTGTTCCTTTGAGGCAGATGAATCTTCAAACCGTGTAAACTATGTGAGAAAATTTCAACCGCATATTCATTAGTATAAGAGCGCTCAAGGTCAATTCTTAATCTTGAACTTAATCATTCATAGGCTTGCGCTTAAGCTTAGTTTGATCACCCTCCTTGGTAACTACCAACCCAACATGGACTTCTCCACATACCCTGATCTTCCTTTCGGTGACTCTGCCTCAAGGGATGGTAGCCGCCTATACCATCTTGAGGCGTCAGGTGGAGATTGTGATATTTCTTTTGATTTTCGTTTTAAGACGCACTCCTTTGCATAACCTTCATATTTATTAATACATTGTTACCAGGTTCAAATAATTACAAGTCGATATAATTCTAAAGCATCAGCAATAGACAATTTCTCTTGTTCTTGACTTGTTGTCCCAACAGAATTTCTATCCACCTCCTATATTTGAAAGTTTATCCAGATTTCCGTAAGACCCACACAAATGCATGCATATCATTTATTTTCGAAAATCTCAGGCCAAATCATCACATTCTCAGTGATGATTTGTGATACATAGTCCAATTTGTTTCGCAAACGTACCAGGTGAAAATTCAAACGAGACATATTAAGCGTGAAATTCTGTTCCAGCTTTCATGTGAAAGATAAAATTATAATGCCCCATCACTAATAAAGTTTCAATTTCAGATTCACAATTGATAATTGACGATTGATTGAAAAATTCTGCCGAGAAGCCAACTGTAGGCGGGCGGTCTCGGAGAAAGGAGTTGCTGAAGTTATAAGATTGTAAGTCATAGGAGGTTCTTGCTTCAAATGAGAACCAACATGATTATTTCTTTAAAGAGTATTATGGAAGTTGACAAACTCAAGATCCTATCGAAGGTGGGCTCAGTTGTAAAGTCGCTAGGATCTCTCTAATTATGTATCGTGCACTCGGCTCTTCCTTGGTACTCAATATCAGAATCACATCCAAATTAACTTTTTGCATGATCCACACGAGCTTTATCGTGAAAGTACCACGTCGGGAGAAACTCAGATCGGGACATGGTGATGCCTCAGAATGCTGTTATCGCTGGGCTGTGCTGTGTTGCTCTGCTGTAATCTTCATATCTCACTTACCCATAAGTTGGTCATGAAGAGGTTTTCAAGAACACGCATGTAGTCGGTTTCGACTCCTTTTGATCTACATGTAATGAAAGATTTCTCCATCAAGCTCCAAAGCCTTTATAATCATTATCAACATACATATATTTACATTCTTACTCTCCTGATGACTACTTTTGATCATCTCAGCTTCACTCAGCTGTAAGCTGATCACGTTCAGAGGTGTTCAAGCTTCGTGAGATTGACTCTATCTGATTTTCCATCTATTCATATACCCTCATATAATCGAATCTAATCGAATTGCGAAAGATTTGTAATGTAGATCAGATAAGTACAATAGGCTGATGACTCGATGTCAATCATTTTCTTATGTACCGACTAATTGACGATGATGCCGAAGAGATCGTTGCGGTCAGATTGGTTTGTAAGGATGAGTGTGTACCAATGATGATGAAGATACACATGGAATGTTGATGATGAATTCTTGTAGAATGGTTTGAAGTTGAAGATCATCCAAAAGGTTTTTCTGATGAGATTCAAATGATGGATTTGATAAGATGTGAGATCTTCAGGGTTTTAAAATGGTGTTTATGGTTTGAGATGTCACTTGACGGATGACAGTTGATGAGAGTACAAATGAAACTTGTTGAGACTCGGAATGGTTCCTATTTCGAAACAATCCCTTCCCCTTTTTTGACTTTTGATTTGAAAAATTAAACTTGTACCGCTTTATTGATACAAATCAAAAATAAAGTCAATTTTGATTTGTGTGAAACCGTTTGAAGTTACCATCAAAGAAATTTCTTTCATTTCTTTCATTTCTTTCCTTTTATCTTTCCTCATTTACTTAAATCAACTTCAACTCAACTCAAGATCATTTCAATTCAACAACAACAACAACAACAACACTAACATCATGTCTTCTCATCCTTATCAATCACAACATCAACATTTACCTCCTATCTCAATCTCTGATCAACCTAATTATCCACCTCGTCAAAATCATCCAGTTCAATCTCCAACTAATTCAAACGGTTCGGATTTTGACGCTCCTTCTTTACCTCGTTACTCTTCTCCTGCTCCTCAACATGGTCATCCTCCACCTCGGAACAATAATCCCTATCCACAACAAGCTCCACTCACCGGTCCTCGTCCTTTTGTTCATAATTCTGGACCACCCCATCCACTCAGTCATGCTACTTATGCTGATTCAAATCCTACTTTGAATGAGACTGATGTCAGTATTGAAAAACGATTTGGTGATGGTCATTCATCTACTATGAATTCTTCATCTCTCGGTTTAGGTCTTCATAGTGGTGTACATCAACCGGAGAAATTCATCAACCCAAACCATTCTCCACGTCTTTCACCTTCAGCTGCACACAGCAATTCATCCCAACTCAGTCTCTCGGCTCGATCTGCTGTGGCTTATCCTCCCGAGTATGGTATGATGACTAAGATCTACAGAGCTTGGAATGGTAATTCGATTGGTGATTCCGGTGTAGATGAACGTCATTCGAAGAAGAAACGTTTACCTTATATCGATGCTCTCAAGTTCTTTGCTGCGATCGCTGTTATGAACGGCACTCTCTTTGATGCAGTCTTGAGTGAAAATGACTACAAGGTTATTCAAAGAGATTCACCTCTCTATATCTTTCGGTAGGCGTTTTCATCTCTTCACTAACTTGGACTTTATCCTTTGACTCATTCAGTCGTTTTTTTACCTTTGCTGCAGCTCTACCAATCTTGGTATTTGCATGTTACTACTCCTCTCAGGTCGATCATTGATTGCACCATTGTGGGATGCAGCCAATCCTCATGCCAAACTCTTGATGAAACATCAAGATCCACTCAAGCCATTGATCTCTTGGGCTAGATTGACTCGTGCGATGCTTATCCGACCATTTCGATTTATTTTACCAGTCCTTGCTATTGCGGCTCTCCAATGGGGCTTAGCTTCAGGAGGTGATAACCGAGCCACCAAGAACTGTAATAATGCAGGAATGAATGAACCTTATTGGGCTAATATCGATCGATTCGCTGGTTATGTCACTTTGGTCTTCAATCTTGTACGTATTTTTCTTTCTTTTCCCGTCGATCAGTTACTAACAAGTTGTCATTATCTTTCAGTTTACCTATTTTGAACAAGATACCATTGCTGGTAAAGCGTTCGGTGCCAATCTCTGGGTTACCCCTTGGTTCTTTCAATCAAGTTACGCTGTCTATGTGACCCACTTTATGTTGGGCAACTTACCATCAAATCGATACTGGGTTTATGGGATTTTGATGTTTTTTAGCTGGACAAGTCTCAACTATTTTGCTGTGCGTCTCTTTACCATATCTCTCTTTTTGTCAGTTTACTCATGACCACTCTTCCATCTTTCTACAGCTTCCTATCACAGGGCTTTTTATTGCTGATATGGCTGCCCATGGCCAAACTGCTCGCTTACGTAAACTATCGGTGCCACTTCGAATTGCCATTCGGGTAGCACTTCTAGTTGTAGCTGCCGTTACTCAATTCATCCCTGTCGTTCGCAACAATCTTAACTCTGCCTTGGCCACTGTCAACGTTCAAGCCCATACCGATATCACTTTCTCAGATTGGATCTTTGTCACGATTGTACTCTTCATTGTCGAAACCTCGGATGTCGCTCAACGTGTCCTCGGCTTTGGCCTCTTCAAGTTCCTTGGACAACTTTCAGCTGGAATCTTTTTATTAGCCCCAGCTGTCGTCTTCACTATCGTTCCGGATGTAGCATTAAGTTTACATAATTCCCAAACTTATTCAGCTCCTACTGTCTTGGGCCTAAGCTGGGCCCTATTACTCGGAGTCTGCTTTGCTGGATCAATAGCCTTTCATTTGGTGGTTGAGTGTCCTTCAAAGCTCATTGGTGAAGTCGTTTGTGACCTTTTCGAAAGATTAGGAGCTGATAAAGAGCAGATGAAGAAGGATGCTGAGGACTTGAAGGCTTTAACTACTGGTGGTGGTCGAAAATGAATTGATTACTTTCCTCAATGATAATTTTCTGCTTTGATTTTTTTTTGATTATCCGATTAGGACATTTCTTATCGTACCTTGTCATCGCTCAATCTAAGTTTTTTTCCCCTTATCCTTTTATTCTTTTAATAAAGATTTTATCCATGAATGAATGAGTGCGTGTGTGTGTGTGTGGGCTTGGGTGTTTTTTTCCTGGTAGTGGTGATTAACTCATAAACTTTTTTTAACTCTATGAAAATTAGTTTTATTTTCTTCTCTTGATTTTATTTCTCTCTCTTTTTTTTGTCGTTACAAGATACATGCATATCCTGGTGGCTGGTTGCATTGTAACCAGACTATTATTTTCTTTTTTACAAACCCCCCCCAAAAAAATTAACACTGATCAGAAAAAAAAAATCAACTTTCCTTTTTTGTTTTTTTTGTGATGTTGTGTTTGTTTTTGTTTGCGTAGATGAAAATGATGAAGTGCACTTTTTTTTACCAGATTTGTGAAGAAAGAAATCCTTTTGATTGAAGATTTGGTTGGGATAGATAGGTTTCCTTTATGATCATCAGATTGGGAAACTAACAATCATGACCAAAAGACTATGTACTCCTTTGAGTCTCAACCTTTTGGGGATTCAGGTCAAGATGGTCAGAGTACTATTTTGTATTTGTGAGAAAAATCCAGTTGGGGTCTCATTTTTTTGGACTCAACAAAGGCTTGTTTTGTTAAGATACTCCTCAAAACCTCAAGAAGCCAATTTTGTCCTACACAAAGTGCTTCTGGAACTTTTCCACAAAGCCAGAAAAGAAAGATTTGGCTGTGTTCTGGCTTCATAGCCTTGTGGAAAAAAAACATATTTGAATGCTCTTTGCCCCTAGGTTCCACAAGACTTTGTGATACAACTCTGTGATAGAACTCTGAATTAAGGCCTCTTCATCTTCCCCTGTCATTCACCCCTTGATCGTTTCACCTCACTTCCTTATCTTATACCTCTGTCCTCCTACACCACGCTATGGCTCAAAAAGGACACCACAAAAGGCTCAAACACCACATACATCTAGCAATCGATGGAATGAAACAAGCAGGAAGCTCTCAATTAGCTACTCTTGCCTTCAAGAAACATAGAGATGGCAAAAGCCTTTTCATAATTTGATGTCTTCAAGAAATTATCATCAACCACAATCTACATACAAACCAACCAGCAGCGGATTGTGAGGAACACCAATTGGACGAGTCTGAGGCAAGGAGGCCATTATTAGTGATTATGCTTGGGGCCTTAGAGTTTCATTTGGCAAGGGCAGAATCCATCAAGCTTGTACTACTTGGTCACCGTCTACTAAACCTTGTTGAAAGCGAGATTGGTCAACTTGAAGAAGCCCTCAAGATCTTACAGTCCACTCGCTATGTGCAAGACCGATTACCATGTGGGCATCAAGGTATCCAAAACATTGCATTGCCTCACAGAATTGCCAAAGGCGGTGATCCATTCTTAAATATTGTGAGTGTTCAAAAGTGTATTCTAAACCATCCACCAAGCCTCAAAACTAATCACTATGTGACCTTTTCTTTCCTGCTGTTTGACAAATAGGCTTGAATGACTCATGACCAATTTTGGAACTTAGTTACTCGGATTCAGGGTAGTTGTGTTTTTCAGAACCAATCGGACAATAAACAGCTTCCTGTAGCGTGGCAGCTTCTGGTGGCCCTAGCAAATTTGGGTACCTCGGGAAATGGGGGGGATGTCTCGCACCTTGCGTACATGTTTCACATATCAGGTTAGTGCCCTTTGGTGCCTCTACTTTCCTTCTATTCAAAAAACTAATTACTAATATGTCTCGGTATAGAGGGAAGTGTCCACAATTGGACTAATCACTGTATGTATGCCATCCTTCAAATGGAAAGCGAGTGGGTCAAGTGGCCAAACATCGAGGAACACCGTGATCTAAACATGAAGATACAGGGCAGTCATTTCAAAGACTGTATTGCTTTCATGGACGGCACACTGGTTCCACTTGCTTTTGCACCAGTTCAAAATCCAGAGGATTACTGGACACAAAAACAGTCCTATGCATTTAACATCATGTTAGTATGTGACATTAATAAGATCATCAGGTATTACAAACTTGGTTGGTGTGGATCAGCTCACAATCAAAGGGCTTATATGTCCTCAGCGGTAAGCTTCTCCTTTCATGAAGTACAATATCTATGCTGACATTTCTTTCCCATATTTATCGTAACCCAAGTGATTTCATTTCCAAAGATGAATATCTTTTGGCCAATTCTGGCTATACGACATCATGTAGTGTCATCACGCCTTTTAAACGGGCACCTGGTCAACATCTTCAAAATCTCCAAGAAGCCTTCATTGTCAATCAAGAACTTAGCAAGATACGAGTTATAATTGAACAGAGCATTGGTATGCTCAAAGGTCAATTCAAGTCCTTAAAAGAGCTCCGGATCTTGATCACTGGCTGTCGTAGTGCCCAGCGAGCAAACATATGGATTCGAGTATGTGTAATACTGCACAATTACACAACAACCAACAATGATCAATGGAGTTTTGAGTTGGGTACAATCAAAGAAGGGCTCCTCCATACAGCTAGGCAAAGGAGACTGCCCCCAAATGCACCACTTCACAAAGATGATGTGCATCCACAAACTGCACAAAATGACACTCAACAGAGATCTCTATTTGAACAATTTGTAGCAAACAGGGGAACATAAGGGGTGGTTTCTTTTTTCATTTTGCTGAAAAGACATGTTGTTCCTTTCTTTTGATCCTCATTACATACTGATTTTGTTTGAGTTCATTATACTTTTAAATGAATTACCCAACACACTACATCAAAGGTCAAAAAACTCTTCTATAAGATATCCGATGATCTCCTTTTGATCATGTTGAGTATCAGTATCCAATAAAAGTGTCCTATTGGTTTTTCATTAGACACAAGGGACCCGGATGGATCCTGACCAATTCAAATTAGAAACAGTCAGGATTGCTTGTAATTCTAATTTGAGTTGCTAGTATTGATTCTGTGTATTTTAATACACATAATCTTTTTGGAATGCTCCTATATTAGGATAAATCAGTCATATTTACCATTTTCAATACTACTAAAACGAAATAGTTGCATCTTAGTTACAAATTTGTGTATTTTGTTTGAAAAGACAATCTAACAAAATGAGTAGTTTTTTTGACAAAGATACTATTTTGAATCACCAAAGAAAAATTTGTAAAATAAAAATCATCTTGTGTGAAAGGCAGAAGGAAAACATCAATTGCTCTTGCCCCATTCAAAACAATTATTTGAAACACTTTGATCTGATAAAATTTTTAATCAAAAGTTCACACAATTCTTTGAAAGCGATTGATTGTGTTAAAAAACAGTTAACACGATTGATTGAATTGACAGGTAATACTTTGGTAAATCCTAGAGCTTCACCGATGTTATGTTTGATCCTTAATCAAGTGACAATATCTGCAATACAGTTAAGAAAATGAGCCTTGTGGGTTTTGAAAAGATTGAACTTGAAGAATAAAACATTGTTGAACAAGATTGATCCTCAATACTTTATTTGTATTAGGATTGGGGTTTCTCAGATTCCTGAAAAGCAAAAATTGGAATTAATGACTTGTACTTATAAGCAGATACATCAAATTCAAAAACCTACAGTATTTGGAAATACTTCAGCGGCAACTTCCTTTGCCTGCTCCAGAGTCAAGTGGTTTTCGGCCATTATTTGAGCAACGAATTTCCCTCTAGCAATTCTATAATCTATATCCATAGTCTGTTTGGTGTGCTTGAGATCCAACTGAGCTGTTTCAACTTTCAAACCATGTAGTTGTGCATCCAACTGAGCCTGTTTGATTTGATCTTCCTTTGATAACAAAAGTCTAGGGTCGTCTTTGGGCTTGAAAATTGTTGCAAGCTCTTTGATTGCATTGCCAAGGCTGTCAGTTTTGAGACTTGATTTGATTACACTATCTTCAAGCTGATTGATGGATGACTTGACTGTTTCAGCCTTTTGATCAATCAACTCCTTCACTTTAGACTCCGCGCTAGCCTTATGACTGTAACGTTTTTTGACTGAAGGCTTTGTTGCCAATTTGGAAACAGAAGGAGGTGCAGTAAGATCAATTGTTGGTTTTGGGGTCTGCTTGGCTGACTCTTTGGGGATCAATTTGAGTGACAAATCTATTCATGATATTATACATAAAAATTCAGTGTAAGAATTGCAAAGAATGGTGTAGATACACAAACCTTCTGAGACGTTATCATCAATAAGATGCCTAAGGTCTTTATTAGAAATTTCAAGATTGTTATCAATTTCCGCTTTGGCCTGGGGACGGTGGTACCCTTGATTTGAGGCTTCCGAGTGTTCATCATCATTTTGGATGTCTAATTGGCTAGGCAAGGTACGTTGTGATTGATCTAAATTGAAATCATCCTCTAATTGTGTTTCATCTACATTTAACCTCAAACCCAAACACTCTAAAGAATTGTTTGGATTGTCCAGGTGGGCACTGTTGACACTTGCTAGCCTAGTCGCCTTGTCTCTTTGACCCATGACAGGCTCTGATTGTCAGTAATATTTGCATCTAGCCTCAATGTAAGCTGTATCAAAGGTTCATCAGTGTAGTAAAATAGTCAGAACAATGAATAATACTTACCATCAACTAAGACCTTCTTTCTTGCAATGTGAGCTGGATCCTCATCTTCCCACCCATTCTTCTCCTTCTCAGCTTCAAGATGACCCATTGCACCTTGACCAGTCTGATCAATCCATCTCTTTGCTTCATTGAACTGGGCCTTGAGAGTACTGATATGAAGATATATTGTCCTATCAGCCACATTTGCATTGTAAAACCACTAATTGAAACAAGTGAACAAAAAGGGAATCACTTGCCTTAGTTGCCACAATCTTTTCATTACGGCCGTGAATTCCATTTTCAACTAAGTAGGAAGTAATTGACTCTAACGTAGCGGACTTGTAGTTATAAGTATGTGACTTATACCGAGTCCGATTTTCATACATTGCAATCCAATTTAAGAGAATGCTGATTGCACTCTTGCCTTTTTCATTCTTCTGATCTTCCCACTTCACCGGTGGCTTTCTAACAGGTCTGTCTGCACCTCCTTTTTGACTTTTCTTTCCTTTCTTTTGCTGCTTTCCACTTGATGTTGATTGTGGGGGCTTGCTGTTTTTTGCTCGATTCTTACGAGGTGTTGATGATTGTGACTTAACTCCTCTTGCATTAGGCTTATTAGGATTCTTTGATCAAGTTGTGATGGATTCTACTGGTTGCGAGGCCGGTTGAGGCATGGATGTCATTGAATTAAAAGAGCCGAAAGAGCCTTGTTGAATGATTGCCGGTGGATATGATGGATGAATTTGTGTTGGGTAGTAGTTTGGCAAAGTCGCGTTCAAAGGAAAGGATGGATAGGACGGAATGGTGGATGGATGAAATTGGTAAGTAAGGGGGGTTAAGATTGGCTGTGGTGTTCCATGTGGGGACGGTGGTGGAGTACTTGAAGGGCAAATATCTCCAGACATGTTGAGATGTATTGGAGCTAAATTGGTGGTGGATTTTCAAAGTCCAGGAGCCAGAATGTGGTGACTACCGGGGCCTAGCTAGGCCCCGGTAGTCACCGCACAATCACCAGGTGATTGTGCAGTGGCCAGACCACCTAGGATTTAGGTGGTCTACCTACCCACTCACCGCACAATCACTCAGTGATTGTGCGGTGGAGTGACACCCCCTAGATCCTTGGTGGTCTGCAAATAATGGTAGACCACCGAGGTGTTAGGTGGTCTGGGTGTGGTGCACCATTGCACAACCATCAAGCATGCGGTGGTGACTTGGGTCCTAGACTCACCACTTGGTCTCACCAACTTGTGAGACAAGGTGGTGAGACCAATTTTTCAAAATTGACACTTTATGAATATCATTTGGTATTCACAAAGTGAAAATATAACCTTATGTTGTTGGTAATATTGAGATATATCTTTATATATCACTGGGTAAACTTCTTTTTTTTTGTAAATATCATCACGTCAAAAATGTTCTAATTATCAAAATTGGGTTACAATCAATATCAGGAATCATATCAGAATGATAATGATTCTAATCCAGATCAAACTATCAATTTTTTTGGATACATCACCAAATGTATCAAAACCCTTTTCCAATGAAGTGTAATTAACAATTTTGTTATACATATACAAAAGCTAATATTATGTGTAGGACCACTATATAACATAACAGAGCCATTAAGAATATTCAAACATTCGTATTGGACTTGATATTTGACAAACATGAGACCTTGAAGCTAGTTGTATAACATTATCTTGTTTTTGGTAATTTTGTTACTTGCCCCAAAAAATGATTATTTCCATGGTGTAACAAATTAATACCAAAAGATGATTCCTGCCAAAAGATGATTCAGGAATCATCTTTATATGACCAAACAGGATATTGTATAGATAATCTTACAAGAACATGATAAATATTTGTTGGAACATGTGACACAAGATTTGCATCAATCTCAGAAGCTTGTGCGTGGATCTGCAAGATCCAGGAATGTTTTGTAAATTGTGAAAATCAGCACAGCAAATGTGAGCTCATACAAAGCGTGCTTCAAGCACCCAAAGTATATTGTCCCTCATTCAAATCTTCAATTTTTTTCACTTCATCTTCTTTTGGCAATCATGTTGCTCACACCTCAACAAAATCCAAGCCAACCTGTATGTGCTGGGATGATATCTTTCCTGGTGGCATCACCCACTTCCACGGCGGCCAAATTGCAAGATCCCCATCAGTCACCTGTGTTCTTGAAAGTCTGTGCTGATAGCCATGGCACCCCAGAAATCACTTTACATCTCCCAAGTGGTCATTCATTGGGGTATTTCCCTGCAGGAGTTGATAGTTGTCTATTGAAGCTGCTTGGAAGTACTCCGCGTACATACAAAGCTGAACCTGCAGGTGGATGGAAGTCTAATACTTATTTGGAACCAAGTCACCCAGTTCTCATCAGCTCTACTGTCAACATAACTATGGTAGAATTTCATGGACTTGATGCAACTCAATTGCAAGTCAAAGTACTTATATTTATTTCAAATTGGTATTAAGGAACCCTTGTGAAGACTGTCAAGAATTTCCGGATCAAACTCCAGAGTCCTCCTCATTACCAACCTCATCAGCATCAACATATTCCTCTGGTGGATCTAGAAGCACGGACAACCCCCAACTGGAGTTCTGCTTTTCCTGATCATATTTTGACCAGCTAAGAGGCCTCAAGACTTGCGTCCATTTCTTGTGGTTTGGATCTTCAGCCTGTCAATTCTTCCAATATAGTTACTTCTCAGCTGCACCCCCATCAAAAGCAGGTCCTGGCTTTTTTGTTGGACAGAGAAAATCCAGATTCAACAACTTATCACTCCCTTTGGTTTTATAAATCAATGCCACCCTTAAACCGGTGGAGTCACCGTCTCTGTGGGGAAGAATTTATTGTCACTGAGGGACAAACCGGACCAGTCAGCCCTAGGGCATCAATTCTAGCGGATGACATGGGCCTTGGCAAAACAATTCAAACTATTTCTTTAATTGCTACCACACTGGATGCATCAAGACAATATGAACATCAGGATTCAGCATCAGCTGTCAACCATCTAGACACTAACCTGCAAGCATCTCACACCACTCTTTTGATATGTCCTACTAGCCTGATGGACAACTGGGAAGAAGAGGTAGGAAAACACACAAGAAAAAACAGCTTGAAAGTCTTGTGCTGGCATGGCACAGACAGAGTCAAAATACCTCTACGTGATATCCACTCAGCCAACATCATCATTACAACCCCAAAAACACTTATGTATGACCAACGGCATGGTGGTTCAACCCAGGTTCCTTTCACAACCAGATGGTACAGAGTGGTCATTGATGAAGATCAGTGAGTATTCTCTCTTTGTGACCAAAGGTCTGTGACCAAACTGGCCCTTTACTGGTACCAGTGTAATTTGTAATGAAACCACCTCCCATGCAGTCCTCACCTCTTTGGAATCAGTCAACCGGCTTTGTCTCACTGGTACTCCACTCCATAACAGAATTGGAGACTTGCACATGCTCTTCAAATTTCTGGACATCAAACCTTTTCATCAAGACTCAGTATGGGACCGTCAAATTACTCTGCCAGTTCATCAAGGAAATTTGGACACATTCAGCCAGCTACTAAGATACTTCATGCTTAGGCGGACCAAATCAAGCCACCTATTCAATTGACCTCCAATCTACCATGAGACCATTTTATTGGAAATGCATCAAAAAGTGAAAGCAATATATCAGCAACATTATGAAAGATTTATTCAGGACTTTGGTGTGGAATCTCAAATCCAACATAAACAGGGTGAATATTTCAGACAATTGATGAATCTCAGGATGACATGCAATCACCCTCTTTTATTCAAACAAGAACAAGAGCTCAATCAGATCAAGATTACGGAGATGGAGGAGGAGCTTGGAATCATGGCGCCGGATGGGAGGGCACTGACTGCTGATGCCAGGCCAGCCTACCTGGAGGACTGGTCACTGAGTAGCAAACTTGCATACTTGGTTTCCCAGCTCAAAAAGAAGCATAGAACTTTGCATAAAGGTCTATGCAAGAAGACTGTCATCTATACCCAATGGAGGTGTTTCATGGAGTGGTAATTATATTTTATGTCTCTTTTATATCACTTGGCCTGTAAGCTAACCTGCACACCCCACAGGATCAAGATTGCTTTGGATTGTAACGGCATTGGCAGCAGCACCTTGCACGGTGACATGACAACTCATGAGAGGACATGCCAACTCAACAGATTCAAGAACAATAACAACATTGAGGCCTTTATAGTATCTATTGAAGCTGGAGGTGTGGGCTTGAATATGACCTGTGCTGACGAGGTCTATCTGATGGTGTGTTTGTTATCATTCATTCATATGCAGTGGTCAATATTAGCTAAAAGTAATATCATTAGGATGCCCATTGGAATCCACAGATTGTGCAACAGGCAATTGACCGTCTACATCGAATAGGGCAGACTCACCCTGTGAAGGTGTATCATGTGGTTGCAGGGCAATCTGTTGAACAGCACCTACAGTAGTTAAAGTCTACTCTGTGCTACACCTGACTATGGTCGGCCCCGGGGCTGGCCCCGGGCCCAATTGTCAGGCATTTCTGATTTTTAATTTTTTTTGGCATGGATTCAAAAAAAACCCATGTACAAGGGTCAAGTAGTGGTTGGTGAACCACATAACATAGTGGCTAGGTGCTCAGCGTGTCAACCACTTTGTGTTTTTTAGTTACTATCAACACTGGGTAAGCAACGCACCCCGTTGCTGTTGCGCAGCGGGGCGCTGCGGTTTTCAGAAGGTGCTGCGCTGCTGTGTAGTGTTGCTCCTGGACTCAAAAACCCCGCAGAGCTTCCCAACCCTCGGAAATTGGGTTTTTTTCGAACCGCTGCGCAGGCGCTTCTTGTAGCACCGCAGACCGCAGGCAGCGGTGTTGTTGCGGGGCCATGGAGGCCGATCGGGGGTTTTTCACCCAAGTGAGTACTTTCCCATTTTGGAAATCCCACTCTGATCAGATCATCGACTGTCAACCCCTGCCAACCATCTCTCGCCACACATGCCAAACTAAACTCGATCTCAGCGAATCAGGACACAACCCATGTTTTCAATGCACGTGTTTACGCACAACCCTCACCACCGATACTCGACTGTTTGCAAGCCAAGGGTTAGTCGCTTGACTGGTGCAAGCCACGACCCCTTGGTGACCAGTTTGATATGCCAAACTGGTGTTGACACTCATCTGGTCGGCTCTCAGCTCGGATCTACGAGGGGCTCAATGGTGTCCTGGATCTTTCAGACTTGTTTTAGTCCCAATTCTTGTAAGTCCTACTTTCCCAACTATTCATTCAAACTTTTGCTGTTCATTGTTTAGCCTCAGATAATCAATTTATAACTCATCCTTGGCTTTATCCATAATCACATTCAAATTCTTTTCACTTTTACTAAATCCACCATTTCTACCCATCCATTATCATACTATTAGATCCACCACCACAAACCCATAATCCAATGTCATCTGTCACTTCCGAGCGTCCCTCACGCTCTCGCAAGGAGCCCGAACGCCAGGGGATGTGTCGTCCTTCACCCGATTCCCGTCGCCGTGTCTCAATTGACCAGATCATCCTAGCTAAGTCCTCGAATCGACACAAGAAGAAGACTCAAAGTGTTGAAACCGAAGACTCTGAAGACGAACCAGTTATTGTTCCGAGTGCTCAAAACAAACAAAAATGTCATACCATATCCACCAATGATGCGTCTGCATCAGATCCTCCCTCATCCCCGGTCGCACATAAGCCCAAGGAGAAGGGCAAGAAAAAGGCAAGTACTTCAGGTTCGATTAGAAATGAGGTCAGTAACCAATCCAATTTATCTAAGCGCAAACAAAACTGACCTCATACCTCAAACCTTCAGGATGTATCTTTGAACTCGTCCCCGGTTCCTAATAAGCAGAAGAAACAAAAGAAAAAAGCAACTGCTTCAGGATCTACCAGTAAGGAGGTTAGTCAATTGATTTAATGTATCTAAGTGCAATCAAGACTGACTTAATAGTTAAAACGTCCAGGTTGCCTCTGCCACTGTCAGCAAAAAGACTTTACGGGCCGATTCAGATGAAGAGAATTCAAAGGTTGCCGCAAAGAAACGCAAGGACGATGCAAAGGATGTTGTTCGACTCAAATCCTACTACGGTCGTCCGTTCCATCGAAAGAACCAACCCGGTGCTAAGGATGATGTGAATAAGTACCTCTCCTTTCATTTTGAACAATGCTGACATTTTTATCTTCTTTTTATTCAATCCTCCTTTTGACATAGGATCCGAACAAGGCCCCACTCTCCTACCCTTGTCGTTTTTGTCCTCGAGACGAGCATGACCCAGTCAGGGTCAGTCTCAGCAACCTGACTGGTAACCTTTGGGTTCACCGAGATGGGAACACCGCCGATGGTCGATCAGATGTTGGATGTCCCGGACGCCTCGTAGCCAAGGAGAAGGAACCCGACTTGAAGATCCCGCCCTCTGTTGCCGAAACACAAAAGGCATTGGCTAAGAATGGACCTATGAACGCATTTGTTGTGTCCGCCCCCAACGTTCCTTTCTCTAACCTTACCTTGAATCAGATGGCATGCGTTTGGCTCATCCGTCAAGCTCAACCTTGGACTAGAATCGAAGACCCAATCCTTCGAGGGATGATTCGATACCTTCGAAAGGATGCGCATTTGTTTGGTCGTCGTTGGGCTGCTGATGAGGCCAAGCAAATCAATCTTTCTCTCAAGGAGAAAGTATTCTCGGAACTGAAGGTATGTCACAACTTGATCCAAATGTATTTGACTATACTGATGATTCTTGAATGATCTTTATTCAGTCTCTTAACTCCAAATTCAACTTAGTCCACGATGGCTGGACAACTAAGGGCAATCGACATGTCTTCATCGGAGCATCAGTAACTTTTGTGGACAACCAATGGAAATATTGTGTGCGACACCTGACTCTAAAAGTGATTACGTGGCAACATCACGGACCATGGCTTGCCGAGCCAATGGTCAATATATTGGTCAAACATGGATTATATAAAAAGATAAGTCAAACATCCTTAAGTAATTGTTTCTCTGTGTATTCTCATTTGAAAAGGGTGTGCTGACATCTTTTCATGATTGAAATACATGCTATGCCAGACAACCGATTCCGGTTCCAACAACAAGACCATGGCACGTGAGATGCACCAACAGTTTCTTGAACAGGAAGACATCAGTTCATACTCATGGGACCCCGACTCAATGCATATATTCTGCTTCTGCCACAAACTTGCATTGATTGTCAATGCAGGTTTGGCAGCTCTCGGTGTGAAGGCTCCACCACCTCTCAAGGTGAAGGAAATTGACCGAGGTCATTTTCCAACTATATGAACAATTGCTGAAGAGGAGGAGCCTGAGGACGAACCAACAGTTGTTCCCCTGGGTGCTGGCCGATCGAACTTTATTGATGAAGAAGATGAGGCTGTTGATCACGACCTACAGGAACTTGAAGAGGTCCCCCCTGAAGTTGTTCATGTGCTGGATGTCGAAGGGGAATGGGATGCAGCGGATGCCGAGGATGATGCGTGTCCTGATTTAATGGTTGAGGACAGCAAAGTCCAACCTACTCACCGTCGGGAGGCAAATAATCTGGATTACATCTTACGCAAGGTGAATGCATTGCTCTTTCTTCGCTGTTGTTTTTTTTCTAACTTTTTACTCTCAATTTCTTAATCAATAATAGGTCGACTTTATAACTCGGAGAATTACTCGTTCAGCTGCGTGGCGGAAGCAATTTGATCGTGTCAGTGAACAGAAAGGCTTCAAATGCTCACTTATCGCTGGTTACGGTATTCGTTGGAACATCAAATATCAAAGCCGTCACAAAGCCTGGCTAGCAAGAGAGGTATGTTTCTTTGGACTGACTGCACGTTTTGTGAATCATAATTGAAGCTAATCATCTTTCACCCAGGTTATTGATCAATTATGTCGAGACGATTTAAACTTAGTTCACTCAAAGAATCTACCACCACGCAAGAACAAGAAGCCTTACGGCTACTTCCATGAACTAGAGATGACCACGAGTGAATGGGCCCAGGTTCGGAGACTTAACATGGAACTTGAGGTAAGTGTCTCCCACTTTGGTTGTCATCTTCTTTTGATGCATATTGACATTGATCTTTTGTGAATTCCAGCCATTCTTGAAGACTACTCTACTTATGGAGGGTGACGGACCGACTGGCTGCATGGTGATTCCTCAGTATGTAGAGCTTCGTACCAGTCTTGAGAAGAAGATTGCACCTCTCGCCACCACAGACGCTCTATATCCAATGCTCGCAAAGATGAAGGAGAAGACCATCGAATATCTTAACGAGGCACTTGGATGCGAGACCCTAGTCATGGCAACAATACTTCACCCTTTCTTCCGTCTTAAATTCTTCTCGAAGTGGTTTGGTGAAACTTCATCAGTGACCATGAAAGCCGAGTCTACCTTTCGACGTCTTCACCAACAGTACGAAAAGTCAGCACCTATCACAAAGCCAACTCCATCTCAAACTGAACGTGGAAACAATTCAAAACCCACTTCATCACCAAAGCCGGACATATTTGTCAGCAATTCTGAAGATGAACCCGCTGTTGAAGAGGGCGATGAATTACCCATGAAAAACTATCTATGTGGGTCTGATAAGATGAAGGCAGACAACTACGACATTCAAAATCCTGAAGCCAGTCTACTCTGGTGGAAGGTAAGTTGTTCTAACCTTTCTAACTTTCCAATGTCCTCATGCAATACTGATGCAACACTGATCTTGAAATTTATAGGCCCATGAAAAATCGTATCGGGTGTTAGCTCGTATGGCTAAGGATTACCTAGCTTCAACAGGGTCGTCTTGTGCCGCGGAGCAAATATTCTCATGTGCTTCCGATGTGTGCTCTTGTAGTCGAGGCAGTTTGATTGCCCGGACCATTGAAAGCCTGGTATCCAGTAGACTTTGGCTAAGGGAGGGTGTTGATCTTGGCACCCTATTTGATGAGCTGACAAAGGTATTCAAAGCTATGGGGATACCCATGACTTAAGGTTTTATCTCATCTTTTTCTATAAATTTCAACCATTGATTGTTTTTTTTACTTCATTATTTTACTTCATTACTCTCATTCATTGATTTTATTCACTTTTTATAGTTTCTATACTATCATTAACACTTGTTATAATTGTTTTTTCAATCCAAGTAATTTTTTTCCTTCTCACGCTCAATTTTGCGTGTTGCGTTGCGTGTTGCGCCCGTTGCGCAGCGCCCTAGAGCGCTGCTGTGAGCTGCAGCGTTGCTCCTTTCCGATTGTGAGTGTTGCGCTACCAGCCTTTTGAATTTTCAGTTTTTTTCGAGGAGCTACGCTGCGCTGGATTAGCCTGTTGCGGTGCGCAGCGTAGCTTACCCAGTGTTGTTACTATGCATGTGAACCTTTTTTATAACTCAAGTATAATCTGAACATCACCTTGCAAGCCATTTTCTCAGCACTTAGCTCGACCATTCCAGCTCCTCATCACAGGAAACACACCACAATGGCCTTTTCTAACCGGAAGAAATCTCAACAAGCACGGCAAGCAGCAGAGGCTGAACAATTAAGAATTGATAATGAAATTGTTGGTTTTATTGAAAATCAAATAGCAGACTCTGAAGATGAACAAGAATGTGATGAACAACTAAAAGACCAGCTTTTTCCAGTCTTCCTTGGATGCAACACAGCAAAACCTGCCATTGGAAAGCGTAAAAATAGGCTTGGACACCTCAAAAGGTACAAAAGACCAATTTCCAATCCAAACCCGCTCAAGAAAAGACTCATCTCTAAGCCAGTTCCCAAGGCAACACGTCAATATCGTCAAAAGAAGGCTGTTGCAGCAGTTGGAAAGAATGTCGGATTCATGGCTCAATGGACTAAATCAAAACCCAAAGCTGAAGCACCACTCAGCTCAGATTCTAAGATTGAGATAGAAACTCAATCAATCAACTGTATCAATGACCAAGACGACTCTTCGAATGACCAAGACTCTGCCTCCGACGATCCCGATGATTTTGATGATGCTTCTGAACATACAGAAGAGTGTGGCAAGGATGAACATGGACTTGATCCGGAGTATGAGGAATGGATCTCATCATCGGTACAACAGGCCCAAGCCACTCGGCATGCCAAGATGGACTCAACAGATGCCCTTGCTAGACAGCGTGTGATTCAAATTGAGGAACAGTGGGCTGCACTCGATGCCAAGATACAATCTGCAACTCAGAAATACAAAGCCGAGCACAAAGAAAATCCAAAGTGTGACATCCCTTACCTTATCTTGGACGAGCTCAGGGAATTTAACTTTCGTCGTAAGGAGCTGTCTTTGGCAAACAGTAAATCACCCACCATTCAAGCATCAATACTTGCAGCTCAAGGTTCTTTGAGACGACTTCCAAGCAATCACATGAACTTTTCTACGGGTATTGGAAGAGCAAGAAAGATCCGAGCCCAAGCCAACCACCTCATGACCATGTCATCAATCATACACTCGCGGTCGGGATTTGGTTCACAACATCCTTTGCTTCTAGACAATGCACCACTCTGGAGCATGTTACGGACATGGTCCTTTTCAAGAACACCAGGAGAGGTGAGTCAAACATTGGACAACACATCAAATCACTTGAATAAAACTAACATGATTCTTTATATTTTTCTTAGGTTACCCCACAAAGGTTCTGTGATCATGTAAATACCATAGCTCTCCCCAAGTTCCATCCAGGCCAAACAATCTCTTTAGTTACTGCCTATTGCTGGATGTACAAGCTTGGTTATCGGCCTCAAGAGTACAAAAAATCATTATACTTTGATGGGCATGAACGTCC